TTGGTAAATATTTAAATGCAATTTTTTGCCAATAATTAATTCAACCTACTTTATTACTAATTTGAGTAATTAATTTAAATATCAATAATATCATAATATATACCTAGTAATATGCTGACGGTCTGACAGACCGCCTTTACTCAGAATCGTAAATCCATAACGAGGTATACAAATAGGTCTCGAAACATGGTGCTAACTCGATGTACTTAAAAAGCACTAAAATATATACATGTCTTATTAAAAAATATTTTAATATTTTATAATTGTTACTAAATATTTATGAATAAAAACGGAACAATGTGTGTCAACTAAGAAGGATTTGAAAAATACATTACAAGAGAAAAATCCCAATAAGTCTTCTAGCCCAAAAAAAAAACCATGCGAATGTAATAACTGCCGAGACCTGTTTATAAGCAATTATGATAAATTTAAAGTAACATTACCACTGGATGTTGATGGTTGATCTTTATCGCTAAATTTATAAGGAATATATCAGTTGGCTTTAATTTCGTCATTTCTTCAATCATAAAACAGTCAGATGAAAAATGTTCTTGGCATAAATATTTAGTGTACAGTTTTGATTTATCAAGAGATAATATTTTCAAATTTCCTAAAACAATAAATTAATCTATCTTCTACGTCAATTATAATAACTTGTATAATTATATATGAAAAGTCATGAAAATCCATGTCCTAATGCTATAATCATCATAAATGTCAACATAAAATTACACTAATTTAGGTACTTAATCATCTATACGACTATACCTAATATTAATAAATTAAAAATATTCTAACCTGCATTGATGGTCCATGTGTCTAATCTAGTTTTATCTCTCGGAAATCGAAACATTTTCAATGTTGGAAAATTTTTTTTTTGATTTGTTGCAATTCACATATTGACAGATATTACCAGACATCATAAGTTTAAAATTTTAAAATTGATTAAATATTTTAAGATAAATATACTGAAAATGTGTTTGTAAATGTGGAAACAGCTTTATAAGCACAATAAAATGAATATTTTATATTATATAAAATCTATGATATTTTCAAGTTTGTTACATTGTCGCTCAACGTGAGTAGCCACTCAATTATCCGAAACGCTGTTGCTTTTGTCGACAGAGTAAAATATATCAACAGTTAAAACAAATCCTAAAAATATAATATAATCAGCTATCGTAGTGCATATAGCAAAACAGCACCCATCCAATGTTTATCCCTCTTGAATGCAATCGAACACATCGACGTCTAACGGCTGAATGCAATTAGCCGCTGCCACTATTAACAATAGAATGGCTTATCTGTATATTATAAAATCAATGTTATAACTTATAAAAGTAATAGACAACAAAGGTTATCTTTGATCGTAGTCAGTGCGTATACGCGACATCTACGTGTAAACATAACACGCATTTTACTAAAATGGCTGTTTTTAAAAACTATGGTAAAAGAGACAAAGATTTGGTAATATTTAATAATTATAAATATAATTTTAATTCAAATAATGTAAATACATGTGAGATTCATTGGCTTTGTGTAAAACGTTCGTGCTTTGCTACGTTATATACTTTTGGTTATTTCCCAAAATGTTAGGAAAACAAAGAATATCGCCTACAATTTTGGCACTTTCGTACGATACGATTTTGGCGCTTTTGTACGATACGACTTATTTTCTTATCTTATTTTGGCGCTTATGTCTTTCATCGACTCAAATGAGGTGGAAAAAATTAAAATTTTTTTTTACGTTAACAATTGTTAGATTTATTTATTTTTATTTTTTTTTATATTATAATAAGATTAAGGCATTCCTAGCTACGTATATACTTAGCTCCTAGCTAAGCCTATTAATAATGTACAATTTTTTAGATTTAAAAATTATTAGTTTCGTTTGATATTTGGTGTTCAAAAAAAAAAAAAAAATCGTTGCTAAAATAAGGGGCAATAACTGTAAGATTTTTCTTAACTTTCTACTTATTAAATTTAAATTTGTACTTATTAGGATTACGAATTCAATGACAATTTATAAGTCTTTTTTCCAAGATGAAAAGGTTAGAAACAATTTAAGATTTTTTCCAAACAAATGGAAGCGAACTGCAAGTTATTCATACTGAAAATATAGTAAATCATAAAAATATTTAAAATTAAAATCACGCTTAGACATTATTTAATTTTGATTCTCGAGACATTGGTGCCTATATGAATTCAAAATAAATAACTTTAAATTATTTCAAACATCAATAATCACTTTTATCACCATTAGTTCCCCTAAATGGATATGTATTTCAGATGGAAATTACTAATAAACGCAATTTACATTTTTAAAATAAGTTGGCTAAAAATATATCCATAGTTAGTTTATTCTGAAATAAAACGTTACTGCAGGTTAGTTTCCTTACATTGAATTATTATAGCCCCCCTCCCAAAAAAAATTCAACTAAATGTCCGCCTATGTACCAGATGGCTCTCAATTCTCACTTTTTTAATTTCCTGTAAAATTACGGAGTCTGCACACGTTTATATTCATAATTGTACGAAAGGTTAACATAAACCGGGGTAGGTTACTATAAATTAAACTCATATTTTAGGCGGTAAAGAGATTAACAGCTGCCGTTTGTAACAAAGAAAACGCAGATATGAAAACAGTATCCTTGTGGTTCCAGCCAGTAACCACTAACCAGTGATGGTTTGGACGCATTAGTAATATCCCACCAAGACTTAACATTTCCAGTTTACACTCGAAACATCTCGGCAGTGCTTACATCTAGCGAAATATCTTGACATTTAATATTTTATTTGCACTCAATTAAAAATATTTTATACATTTTAAAACAACTACTGAACACAAAATTATACTTATTATTAGGCTTAGGAACTTCTAGTATTTGCATACGTATGTCTTAGCCATTATTATGGTTCAAAATAGCAGAATGCAAAATAAATTCATTTCTCGGTGGCATGATATCAGATCTAAAATTTAAGTGTGCATATTTTTGCATACTTGATAGATTTTGCAGGAATGTGCTTATTTTAAAATTAATAACTATAGATACATATATGGTATAACTTTATATTACTATTTTTAAAACTATATGTACATATTTGAACCGATCGAAAAAAAATATATAGGTACTATTTATAAACTACCACTTATAATTTTTGTGAAAAGACTTTTGTAAATTAATTATTTACATATAAATAATACAATAAATCTGTATAAACCGTTTATAGAGGTCCGATAGGCGATATCCTATAATATATATTATTTTATTAAATAATTTCCATTACTTGTTCAGCATTCATTATAATATAAATTCTAATAAAATTAATATTTAATTTTACCACATATTTGTTATACTTAATTTTCTTGGGCATATCTTAGCGCATGCATAGACTGTTATTTTTAGGTGCATATTTGGATATTTTTTAAAGCTAAAAAGTCCTTAGCCTACTTATTATCAATAGAAAACGTTATATTTAATGCTACGTTAAAATCATCATAGGACTTGATAAACTAAACAATTTTAATAAACAACCGTTTTTCATTACATAACATTGATTTTAATAAATCATAAATCCATCCCCCATGAATATATTGCACATAATAAAATACTTTAGAGATCAATACTTTTGATACTTTATTACTAAGATTTTAGAATTAATGATTTTTGATTTAAACATTTTTTTAAAACTATTTATAATAATAATAACAATAAATTTAATCAAACAAAATTTAATTTGAATAGTTTACAGTAATAATAAAATTAATAAATCATTTTTAGAGTTTTCAAAACTTTTATCGCATTAATCTGTCGATCGGTATAATTGACAAAAGATCCAAAAGATGTTTTCGTTAAAATAATCAAGCATTTGTATGGGCCGAAAATTAATTGGAATAGTAACTTTTAATGACAAATCATATAGTTTACCAACATTATTACTTATATTATGTCTATAACCATTGTATAACCATGTTAATAATATTACAATCAAATTACACTCACTCGCTCTACTTATGACTAAATATAGTTCTTATTAATACGTTGGTAATTTCGATTTGAAATTCACGATAACGGATAATAAAATACGGTGATAACAATTAATAATAATATCATAATTATTATAAATAATATATTATGATCAGAGGTGGAACTATAAATTTTTACGCCCTAGGAAAATTTTAAAATACGCCCATCATAAACCAATAATCAAATACTCTTCTCGAGAATTTTTTTCTAATAATTAATATACAATCATACTTATTGAGTTTTAACCTAATATCAGGGTTTAACAAAGTTACAAATATCAAATTAGTTGTTAATAATTACAAAAATTACATCCTCTAAAATGTTACGCCCGAGGATGAATCCCCGTCATCCACTCTCTAGTTCCGGCTCTGATAATGATGAATAATAAAAATACGAAAAAAATTATTGAAAAACGTGGATATAAATAAAATAATACAGTTACGAAATATCCCGTGTTGGAGGTCATTTCTGCTTGAACTTACCCGCATTCTTGTTTAGTAGAATTTCAAAAAAATTGAACTGCATTCCGGGAATTTCCATTCATTTACCACTGGCACTAACCGATTTCGAAGTGGACGAGTCTGCCAAAACTAAAGAATATCAAAAATTACGAACAATAAACCTAACATCCTGTAACAGTACCTTGCACTCATCGGTAACAACTTACCATGGTAAAAGCATTGATATTTTTTTAATTTTTTTATTTTTTTTTATTTGCCTTTGTTCGCACATTAAAGCAAAAAAAAAACATTGCTGGGATTATTAATAAGATTTCTGCATCAGCCGGGAATAGCACGGATATAGATATTAATATTAGTATCTATGTCCATGGATAAAAGGAAGGAGGATAACCTCGTTGATAAACGTTTTTCAGCATGTGAGACAATCACTAATACCATTTTTCAGAGATCTTAGCGATGTAAAGCTCGACGAAAATTCGTTGCCGAACTTTATTCGTCGTACCCGTCTAACCCGAGAACGGATGATTTGAGAATTTCGATTCTCGACTGGTACCGGTTAAGACAAACTTCCAAACGCGATGTATGATGTTTACCCAAGTGCCAGCTGCTGGCAACCAATGATTTTCAAATAGTTTTACGACCGTTTAGACTTCCAGCGTCTTTGGAATTTTTCGTTATCACCACCAACGGTAGTCATCGCCGCGACGGACAATGATGGCAACAGGCAGTAGGATTGGCAATCGATCATAACTAATAGCGTGATATTATTTCATTAAATTTAAACCACATCTCGCCTACGTATTGAAGAATATCGCTATCCTGTTACAGCCGTTTTCACTTGATTTTTTTACGGGCGTTCCGTCGTTTGCAGTTTTCGTGAAACTCTCTATAGCTCCAAGTCGTCGAATGCTGGGAACAGATCGCTTGGCAAGTCTCGACACTACACAATAATCTTTGCTGTTCGACTATAATTGGTATAATTTTCACATTTCAGATTCAACATTATATAATCTCTTGTTCGCATGATTACGTTTTTAGTGTTCAACTACATATCAATCCACTAAAATGTCTGAGACTCCCAAGGTGAATGCGTACAAATTGCCTTTGGGTCCTGAATACTTGCCATTTATTAAACTTACACGACTAACAGAAGAGGAAATCATGCTCCATATCTCTAAGTTAGTATGAACTAGATTGTATATTATTAGTTGTAACATGACAATGAAAATATATTATTCATATGTATATATTCATGTATATTACTATATACTATTATTACATGTCCACTTAGATAATTTTTTATTAATTACAAATTATTTGTTTAGGAATCGAAAAAAAAACTGTTTGTCTAATTCACTGAATAAAACCATTAAAATAAAACAAGAATATCCAGAAGTTTCAACCATAAATGTGCAATTCGAAAATCAAAATTTTCAATTCGTTAAAATAAAACAAGAAAATCAAGATGATCGACTAAATGACATTACCGAACACTATGAGTATGTAAATGTTAAAATATTTTTTATCTTAAATATTTGCACAAGCCACAAAGTATGTTGGAAAATAATATTTTAATAAAGCTTCCTAGTTTATTTATTACCACAAGTATTGAAATAATAGCATATTGTATACTTCACATACCTATTTATATATCTTTCTTTGATTTTATGAAAACAAAAAATAAAATCTTAGCCATCTATTAGTGATTATTTTGATTAAAAACATATTAACAATTGATTAAGTATTATTTTTTACTTTAGTACTTACTATTTTTGATATATAACAAGGTAAACTACTAATGCATAGCTTAAATCATAGACTTATTGGATATGAATTTATGAATTTCTAAAGAAAAAATAAAGAAATTCTATAAACTTGATAAACGATGCCCAATGAGATTTTTTAATAACTAGGTATGCTCAATCAAATATTAAAATGTTATGTAAATAAATTTTGCCCATTTTTATTATTTTCTACTATTATTATAATTGTTCAAACATATGATACGTATATGAAATAAAAATATATGTATATGTCACTGGTAATATGGATAATTCAGGTATTTTGCAAAATGTCTAGGCATTATGTAAATTGCCAATTTTTTTTAGGCAAAATACAAAACATTTTATTATATGTTATACTTCATTAAGATTCTTATAATTATTATACATTATCACTCATATTACAAACAAAATTTAATTTTTATCTGTTATTATATTATTACTATTATATAAATATTTTACTTAAACTACTATTTACTTATTATAACATGTTTTAGAAAAGTGACATTTTAAAGTGCACAAAATATTATTTTTAAGGCACTTTTTATTTTGACACTTGGACTTACAAATACATTTTAAAAATCCTTGGCCAATTCTTGTGGATTCAATTTTTATCAACTCATACTGTTCATCAGATAGAAAACTAGTATTAGTGGCCAAGTTTTTTAAATAATGTTGTAGTTTGTTATAAAAATTTGACTTCTTATAAATCGTATGCGCATAGTTACAACACGAAAACGAGACATAAAAATGTCGAGAAAAATTTAGATACCTATAGTAATAATAATTAATCGTTATAGTATTAAAAAATGCCAAAATTTGATATTTTTATATATAGTATACTACAAATTCAAACAAAAATAATACTACAAATATACTTATAAATATATGAATGATGATACTATGATATGTTTATCAGGAAAAGACTAAAATCGTCATAATAACCAGTAAAATTAAAATAATGAGTATTGTTATTTTATCACAAGTGTATAATAAAATAGTTTTTAATCTATTTATTTTTAGAAAATAGAAAAATTAATATTAAATGGTGGGTTATTATAAGGAGAAGTAATCTGGGCACTAATCAGTAACCAACCTTTACATAAAGGTATGACTTCTTGGATTCAGCAAGTCAATTTATTTTGTTCATCATGTTGTCTTATCTTTAGTAAAATTAGACTAGATTAGTAATATTTTTAATTTCAACTAAAGAAATTGGTAGGTAAATAGTTTTGGTCAAAATGTGGCACAAGAATAAACTTTCATTGTATAATAATTATAATATATTAATTACATATAATAATTATTTATAATCAATTAATATCAGTTTATTTAAAGCAAAGAAAATATATTTTGGTATACATAAAAAGTATACTCTTGTTGTAGTCATAAAGATACACATATCAAGCATTTTATTGAATGTCTATTATAAGCCAGATAAACAATAAAAAATGGTACATTATACTTGAAACTATATTTTCTAATTAATTAACTATGGATATTTTATTTAAATGAAATTGTCAATTGAATGTGTTTAGTAGAGTTAAAGCCTTTAAGGGTCTCATTATGAGACCTTAATTCACGCGTCATGTGTCACACATCAAATAGAAAATTAAAAATATAACCTTATTTGATTTCTGTACAGATAATATTGTATTAAAACTTCAATTAATTATACAGAATGACTAATTTTATCATTATAAAAATGAATATATATATATATTGAATAAATGTGTATTTCACGTGATACATGTATTAATAGCCCTCCTCCATACAACAAAAAATGTCCATTTACTTTTTAAAGATAAAAACCTTAAGGTTTTTTGTTTATATATTTTTGAATTACAATTATATTATGGTTCAAATATTTTAAAAATATTCCTTTTTCATTGTAAACTTAGCTTATAGTAGGCATTTATTGAAATTGTGTAAAATAAAATTATATAAGAATTTATGTATTTGATTATTTATCTAGTCATTTAGTAAAATAGACTTTTTTAATTATATACCTACAACTGGATATAATACCTTTACAAATAGGTTATTTATGTTAACATTTAACCAATATAATAAATTTATAAATGAATCATCAAAACTTATATTTAGTTAAAATTAATAAGATAATTCAAGAAAGCTTTTATAATTAAAACTTAGTATACTATGAAACTTCATAGTTTCTGGATTAATAATAAACTTTATTTTATTTTATAGAAGAATGGCAGTAGAAAATGATACAAGATTAAGAACCAAACCAGGAGGTGTTAAGATTATTAAATTTGAAGATACAGAGCTAAGAGAAATAAAAGCAGAACTAGATGATACACCAGATAAATATGATAAAAATATGACTGATAATACTACATTTTCAAATTACAATGAAATGAATCATAGAGAATTGTATTGTGATATTTGTGCAACAACTTATAATACTAATGAAAAATATTTAATGCATAATTACTATAAACATAAAAATCGTAAAGCTTATGACTGTGAACTTTGCAAAGAACAATTTAGTCTTAGCATTCATTTGAATCTACATATGACACAACATGTACGTGAGATACTCTTAAAACCTTCATCGTCTAATCTTCCTACAGAAACACAATCATCATCTAATAGTAATTTAGTAATGAGCTTAAGAAAAAAAAATAACAAATTAGCTAAATCAACAAAAAGTTATTGTGAAACCAATACATCAGTTATTTTTACAAATAAACCAAATTTGGATCCATTTAAATGTACTGAATGTTCCTATTCAACTGTTGATCAAAGCCAATTTATAAATCATTTTTCAATTTGTTCTGGTGAAACCAATACTGATGCTGAGTCTAAATGTTGTCACCTATGCTTTAAACCTTTTCGTAATCAATCTGCATTAAATGGTCATATGAAATATCATAGTGTGAGAGGTGAAATAACCTCAAGGAAAAAGAAAACTATGAACGTTAGTAATCATAAAACTAATGGTAGTGTCTTGATAGCACAGAGAGTTATCCGTGTAAAGAATCCAATTATATTCTTTACATGTAAATACTGCAGTAAAAAATTTATGACAAAACACAAATTACATATTCATATCTTGCAACATAAAAAACAAATGGTATGTAAAGTATGTAATCAAACATTTTTATTTAAAAAAAGTTTTGACAAACATTTACTATCACATAAAACTGGAACATTGACCGATGGCAAAAAATCCAAGTATGTTTCAAGCACTACTAAGAACAAAACACAAAACCCTGTTGAACAATTGTCATGTGCGATTTGTAAGAATAGTTTCAGTAGTAAGAAATCTCTTTTATATCATAATACAATGATGCATTCGGATTCACAAATGTCTTATTCAAATTCTAAGAGTCCGTTAAGACAGTGCAACTGGTGCAATAGAATTATAACTAAATCTAATTTACTTCGTCATATTAGGAATTTTCATCCTAAAGCCAAACCAATTAAATGTCAAATTTGTCCAATGAAATTTAAAGATGTATTTTCGATGAGATTTCATTTTTCCGAAAATCATGGAAAATAAATAGAACTTCAAATTTTATTTATTTATCATGTATAAATTATTATAAATTATTTGTATTATATATTTTTAAATTAATTAGTTTTAAGAAAATGTTTTAACAAATTGACTCTTCTACTGTAGTGTAATATTTAAAAATTATAATTGATTAGCTAAACCAAAAATGTTTACAAAATGAAATTTATTCTATATTTCATTTGTATTTTGATAAAAATATTGGATGGATCTCGATTCTACTTTATATACTGTAACAAAATAATTTTTTATTTTTTTCTATCATGAACCTTGTATTCTATATTATTAAATATAATTAATGCTATTTTATAATAATGTAATTATTCAAAAAATAAGAAAAATATTTACTTTACAAACAACTATAGTATTATCCATTAATTGTAATAATGATAGTCAGTAGTATTTACCAAGTATGTAGGTATGTATAACCCATAATAAAGGTCACACAGTGTTTGGCTAGGGTTTTGTTGGGATTTTCTAAGAACTCTAAGAAGATCTAAGATGTGTATAAAAATACTCAATTTTTTAATAAAAATTATAACTATTTGTTTTAGATTAAATATTTGTTTATTTATTTAGTTCACATAGCACAAAACAAAAAAGCACATAATAAAAAAATATATTTTTTAATTTATTACACAGTACTTGAATATGGCCATACTTTTCAGAAGATTTGAATAATTGCCTTTTTTAAACAGTTCTTTGTTCCTTTTACATATATGCAGAACTCTGCACAAATCATGTAATTAATTTAACACTGTAAAATCGACTCCACAGTCTTGGGAGCCAGCGATTTCGTTCATCAGTCCACTGTGCCGACATTAATGAGAAAAATATTACTCCTACGTTTTAAATTCAGCACACTTTTAATGTATCATTCACAAATCACTTTAAAGTCGTTGTCATTGGACCCAGATGCGTAAATTTAGGAGAGCAGACGAGAAGTAATGTCTCTTTAATTTGGTAAGTGTGAGAAATTGATCGATACTCGTTGGTAAATATCAGACATAACAATAAGCATATATCAATACACTTATTACGTAATATTACATTTATTATGCATATTATATTACATGTATTATACATATTATTTTATATATATATGTATAATACATACGTAATTTATATTATGCAGGAGCAGCAACCAATATTTTTTTTCGTAGATGGATATTGAACACTGATTTTGTTTCCCGTAATTCCAACTAATTAGCGTTTATGATATGATCTAAATTCAGAAACAGTATTTTTCAATCCTGTTATGAAATTAACTGCAGTTAAAGTTATTCTGAACCCGAATATTATATATCGAGATGTTATAATATTTTAGCACAAATCATCTTATCAGAATTGAAAAACCAACACAGTAATATAGATAATAAAGAAAATGGTTAGTAAGACCGTGGTTTAATCCACAGTATAGATTTAATTTAACCAATGAAATAACAGAATATTTTTTTGGTCTCACGCAAAAACGCAGTGGCGTATTTACAGGGGGGGGTCCAGGGGCATTGGACCCCCCCAAAACCTCTCCAAAAAATAAAAAATAAACTAAAATTCTTACATATTTGCTGAATTGGCTATGTTAAACATTCACAGGAAAATTGAAATTACTGTTGATAAAGTGATGGAGGAGTTGGCCAAAAAATCGAAACGACTGGAATTTATTTTATAACAATACTTTATAATATATATTGCTAAATACAATATATAGGTATATATATAATATTACATAAGACTATACGATTATTACATTATATATTTAGTTCAACTTCCTCCAAAAACTGCATAAGGACATAACTATTACAACATAATATTTAGTTTATATTAATTATGTATAAACTTTGGACCCCCCCCCAGAAAAAATTGAAAATACGCCAATACGTATCAGTGCGCACGATTGTGAACTTTTAAATGGTACTTAAATATTATTTTGCGAGCAAGTCGTAGCATCATTATTGTTTGATTACGACGTATATTTAGACAGAACAAGGCTGTTGTTTATAAATGTATTTAAAAATGATGTTCGTGTCGTGAGTACGACTACTATAGATCAAGAAAATATTTTTTACCAAGGAAAAAAATTGCAAAAAATTTTGTTTTACCGTACCCCTGGTGGGACTCGAACCCACAATCCCCGGTTTAGGAGACCGATGCCTTATCCATTAGGCCACAGGGGCTGGTGCATCAACATTATCGAATAAAAGTAATTTAAGCCATGTATAAACGATGTATAATTTTTACAATGCAATATGTCAATGATTAATTTTTATGCATGAATAGGTGTAAACGTATGCCCTCAATATGTAGAGACACTCAAAAAAGCATTTAGTATGACAACGTGGAATAAAAAATAAATACAGATCCAAAAATAATGCCCCTCCACATTCTCCTCTCTAAGATTAAAAAATAGATATATAGTTTTTTCATATAGTTTATGCTGAAAATTTCCATAGTCAGTGTTTTCATAATATTTTACCACACAACTATGGGTTTATTAATCGAAAATAATATAGGTCCACTAATAAAATATTGTAATATTGTACCAGTAGTAAGCAATAATAACCTCACTCTTTCGAGTATAGTTCTTCAACTAATAATGATACGAAATAGAAAACTGTAGTTAGGTACATGTTATATGTGGACACATAATGCAAGGTTTAGGCTATGTCTTGTGTCTATTGCGGAAAATTGTATAGCGAAAATAAATTGTTCGTGAGGTTGGTGACGCATAATTTGTATGCTACAACTTGACAGCCAGGCACTTAACGTTTTTTGTAATAAGACGAAACGGCAAAAAAGGTGCAACACGATAACTGTCGTCGAAAACCGAATAAGAGAATGAAAAAACGTACTTAATAAAATATTCAATATATTACGTGCGTGCGGGACTTCTTTTAAAAACAATTCGTACATCAAAACTGACAGTAGTATTTTTACTGTAATTTTTAAAAATAAAGTAAATTAAAAAAATGAATGCAGACAGTACTTGCCAAGGCGTGAGCTAATCTGTATTTTAGGGGGCGCCTTCAATACTTTTGGACTCTATCTTAACAAAACGTGTAAGCATAATTAACAAATAGTAATGCATAAATAATTGAATAAACATAATTTTAACTTTTTATTTAATATTATTCTATATTATGATAGATTAATCCCAAAGAATGTTTTCTTTGAGTCTCGTATATTTTTCTCAGATAACTTCAATTATTTTTGATTTGTACTTGTGTAGCCAGTTGTAGCTGTTATTTAACCATAATAAGTTTTGGCACGAAAATTTGTAAAATTTAGTTTCATTTTTTTATCAAATATTTTAAGATAAATTAAATTCAATATGAGCAACATAAATTAAAATATGGGCCTCTTACTCTTAAACTTGGATTGAAGGGTCCCATTTAAAAAAATTTCGAGAGGTGCCCGGTTAAAATTAAATATCATAAAATAAGATAAAAATTTAACATTTGTAAATATTTAAAAATAATACCTACTAAACATGTTTTGATAATTGGTTGTCATAGAACATAATACTAAAACAATCTGCTTATAGCAAAAAAAAAAAAAACGTTAAAAAGATGTTTAATTTATATTATACACTATATCTACTCAAGTATGTAGATTAAATTTTTTACAAAGTAAAAGTTAAATTGTTATGCCATATTCAATAATATATTACCTACTCAATGTATTGTTCATATTTAAAATTAAAATTTAATTTCTTTGGTTCATATTAAAATTTAAATTTTTTACATTATCCTAGAATTTACTTATTTTTTATTTATTCCTAGCTCGGTCGCATCAAGTCTATTGATGTATAAATACAGTTATTAATTTTGCAAAATTGTGATAAAATTATAAAATATTAAATAATAGGTTTAAATTAGACAATTATGACTGGATACGAATTTGCCATAAACAGTAACTATTGGTAGATGTTGCTTTCTGTGGTTGTGGTATCTTCCTCTCTTAAATTAGCCAGTTAAATTATAAGGGCCGCTCAAAATTCTGCATTGGACATTGAAATCTGGTTATGGATACTAATAGGCTTTACAATAAGGATTTATCAAATATTATTAATTATTAACCTGAAATGCTAACTGCAGCATTTCACAATTTTCCAATTAAATATACCACTTGGCAAAGTTTTTGCCATTTTGTAAGATGCATACATCTATTGTTTTTGAAAATTCCATAAACTGAAATAGTTAAGTGTGGTAGTGTTGAATTTACCAATATACATTATTGTATACCGCCATAAATCAAATTATGGTAGTTTTGCATTTTTAAATAGTTATTAAACTATAAATATTAATTATAATTATAAAAAATGTAATTATATGGTATTTATGCTGTTATAAATAAAAAATAAACCAAGTATTCGAAAACCAATATCCAAATATTTTACAACTTTGTAATTAAAAGTGAATGTGAAATGTGTTCCTCCATAGGTAAAATAGATATTGAAAAAAATCAATTTAAATTTTATAAATAACCTTTGTCAACTTTCATTACTATTTTTCAAAATTACTTAACTTCAACAAATTCAGCAGAAAGACATAAAAACAATATAGTTTAGAGGTTCATGTTTGTCATGGAACAAAGGTGTTAATTTCCCAATAATCAATACTATTTTGTCAGGCAAATTATTTAAACTTGCCTTTATAAATAGTCAATAGGCTATTTTGATTTTATGGTCAACTTGGAGGTCAACCAAAATTATGATTAATACTAAAAATGTAATTTAAATATATCACAATTAAGTACTTGTGTTAGCACATCATATTAAATTTGTTTGAGATGCGTAAGAGAAATAGGAAAATAATAGAATTTTTATACAGATACAAATTGAAAAAATCAAAGACATAGACAGGGTTTAAATGTTTGTATTTAATTTATTTCTTTTAATAAAATATAACACCTGATGATAAAATGTAAGACCGATAAAGAATGAGTTTTTTCGGAATACATGGAAAATGCGTTTACTTCAACTTCTTCTTGGGACGCAAGTTGTTTGTGTGTCCACACTTCTTCTTACGGCAATTAGTGGCTCTTGGATGAAGACGAGCATAACACTTACGGCATATCATCTTGTCACAGTTGTATTTTTGGGCCAATAAACGGAGGGTAGGCTCAATAACACCACCACGCAGACGCAATACCAAATGCAATGTAGATTCTATACAAAATTAAAATTGTAAGTTAATGATTATAGCAAAATTAACTAAACCAGTATATTATAAATTTAAATATCAAAAAATGTTAACATTTACAGCCCAAATTTTTATTAAATTATAAAATAACAATAATATAATTTTGGCATGGATAAATAGAAAATACCTACTGTAAATACTAATACTGTGTTATATAATATAATACAATTAAAATTATTTTAGGATTATAACTTTATCTCTAACTCCTATCATATTTATACATAAATCACATAAGCAAACTCAATAATTTTAAATTTACAATTTCCACAATAAAAACTAAAGTAAGGTATAAAAGAAAAAGTAAATACATAATACCAATTATATAATTATTAAGTGTTTCGAGTCACTAAATTCATAAAAACATTTACCAAATCAAACATTTTTGAGAATTGTTGAGTATGTAGTTACAGATAATCTACAGAATTTAATAAAAATACATTAAAACCTTGTTAAGACGCTCTCGAAGGGGAAGTTGTAAAACCGCGTATTATGCTGAATGGCGTAATAGGCGATATCCTGCATATTACACTCTTCAAATGTGCTATGCAGTATCCCGCCTGATATACTTTAAAGTTTTTTATACAGGATGCTAAACAATAAATTTAAGGTCATGGTATTACATTTTATTTACTGCATAAAAATAAGATAAAAAAAAATACATAAGTATAGTATAGTGCATACACACTTACAACTTACAGTGTTGTTACATTGAATTATATATTAAATAAACATATTATGTTAGGTTATACATACTATGATAATTTTTTTAGTGCCTGGTAATAGTTTGTTATATCAATGAGTTTGTTCTAAAATTATTTTATAAGAATGTTTCCATCCTATCTACGTATAAAAGCATGTTTTTGGAGTCATCAGTTGCAGGAAGTGCCTGTCTCAATGAAAATAATGATTATGTTGTATACAAATTAAACATATTTATCGATATTAAATAGGTTTTTTTTTATGTATACTAAATAAGTGCCCAGCAGAAAAGAAAGCAGATTATGCCGAATTGCATATTAAGCGTGTTATTTCAATGTTAAAAGACCTACATGTACTAGAGACCGGAAAAAAAAATCCACATATTAAGCGTCTGAACAGGGTTTTACTCTAATAATTATATAGAAAATAGACCAATTATAGGTCTATTATCACCAATTTCAATAATATATCTTATATTATTGTTTACAATAATTATAAATTTTATTAGAACACTGAACATTGGATGGAAATGTAATATTATGTTATTTGCCTACCTATAATCTATTACAGTAAAAAGAATATAAAAATGATTTATATCTTAAAAAATAATATACAGAATATTTAATACATACCCTTCTGGATGTTATAATCCGACAAGGTACGTCCATCTTCGAGTTGCTTGCCAGCGAATATCAAACGTTGTTGATCAGGAGGGATACCTTCTTTGTCTTGAATTTTGGCTTTAACATTTTCGATGGTGTCCGAAGACTCGACCTCAAGGGTGATGGTCTTACCCGTGAGGGTTTTCACGAAAATTTGCATAGTGATGAATTCTATAAAATTAAATTAATAATCATCATAACCTCAAAAATCATAAATTGAAAAACGTGTCTCATTTCGAAATTTTAGTCTTAAGACTAGAAATTATAATTAATCATAAAGTACTAAAAAATAAAAAATTATCACAATTACAAAATAAATCAAATCAAAAAACTTTAAATGAGTTTTATTAATAAAACAGTCGTGTTCGACCAATGTATTTGTAGTAGAATTATGTCGACGCGTAACGCATACACACCACCCAAGAACACCAATCGATAATCAAAGAAATCATTGAAAGTTTTTTAATGATTGATTAAATTAAATTAAGTTGAAATAAAACAAAAAAAGCCTTACCTTTTTAGTCGTGAGCAGTTAGAAAATTCTTCAAAACAGCAATTTCGTTTTAATGACGGCAGTCCAAAGATTCGCCACAGTACATGATGTCTTTTATCAAAATTTACCATGAACACAGAGTGACCAACTTAGTATTTCCGTTTGTCACCAATGCGTAACAACGAAATCCCGCGAAATCCAAATTCTAAGATTTGATTTGGAATTGAGGTGTTCAGCTAGAACTATATAAGCAGCAGTGACGTAGCCAGGAAATTTTTATGGGGGGGGGGAGGCTCAGCAAATTTATATATATTTAATCTTATCACTATCATTTTGACTACTATTTGTATTGATCTCGATATTTTTAAGTCTGGTTGACATTAATTTTTTAGACTCAAGTAAAAAAAATAATTATTTTTTCTAGTCTGCTTATTTGTTAGAGAATTTGCCGTTAATAATAAATAATAATAATAATAATTTAGGAACTAGGAACTAATATATAGGAACATAAATATTAGATATTAAAATATTTTCTGTCCAATCACTTAGGTATACTAAAAATTAAATTTTAAAAATATCTTACCATAATGGAATGTTTAGACATCTTATAATGATATCATATTAAAATAAAACAAGTATAATGGAATACAAATGTCAAATATAAACGAATAAATGAGTACAGTAAGGTCTCGATAATCCGAACGAGATCGGGAAAAGAGGTCGTACGGATTACCGATTTGTTCGGATTATGTATGGCTTAACAAAAACATCGATTTCATTCAAATTTAAATTATGAAATTTATTTTTATCTGCAATCTTAATCATGTAAAAACTCGTAATTCACAATATAAAACAATGTATACAAAAACTTATTATTATAATTTTATATGTGTGTGTGTGTAAGTACAGCTAGTTAATATTGATAGCGATTCGGTACTGCTCGACCTCGTTCGGATTACCGCGTCTTTCGGATTATCGAGACCCTACTGTAGTAAGACAGTGAGACACCACCGGACAATGACCAACTATTTACTAATAATTATTAGTTTTACACAATGAGGTTCTTGTGTTAAATGATCGGGGAACCGTGAATGCAATAGATATACCCAAAATAAACTATGAATACAGACAATGATATCGCTTTTATCTCAGTTATCGGGACCAGACGACCGATTTAAAATTAACCGTTGTAGAAAACCTAAATAATATGTTCCGAAGCAAAAATTATCAAAGTAGTAGTAAAGTATCTAAATATGATCATAATATTATGACTTGTGTGTGTGTATGTGCAACGTGTGTATAATACGTTTATAGTGTTTATACAAACTATTAATATGATTTCCAAGTCAAAATTCTAAAATATAAAAATGTTAAAGAAAAAACCGTGTTTGATGTAAAAATTAATTTACCATCTCAGGTTCATGGGAGGGGGTTCTGACCCCCAAACTCCCCCATGGATACGCCACTGATAAGCAGGGCCGGCGAGAACTACTGGTTCTGAGACCCTAGGGCTGCGAGGATTCTGGTCCCCCTTCTCTTTGTAATTGTTTGACCAAGACACAGTAAGACTACTTATACATTCTTTGGTACAACAAAAACATTGTATACAAGGCCGAAACGACGAGCCCTCTCGTACGTCCGGTCCTGGGGTTCTAGCCCTCCCTGCCCCACCCTTTCATCGGCCCTGTATATAAGTACTAGTTAACTGTGGTATAATTATGTGTACATAATATAATTATTATATTGAGCCAATTTAAATGTAACTACATACCTATTAAGCTTTCAATTTAATTAATTACACATTATCGTACTCATATGAAAAAGGGCCTAGCTTGTTGATATAATATAACAAATATAACAAAATAAATTAGGAATCCAGATGGACACTACTGAAGCGTAACTAACTTAACCTAAATGGTACAAAGAATCATTCGAATTGATCATGCGAGTAATGTGAATTGTTTTATTATATAAGTATATGAAAATGCAAAAAAAACTAGTTGGTTTAAGGACTATATAGGTATACGAATAATTGGGTGTTACTCATAGGCGTGCGCAGATTCCTGTTTCCAGTGTGGCTTTTATTTATTTATTTATTTATTTTTTTTTTTGATCACTCACCCCCTTATAATACCCCGCCTTAAAAAAAATAGATATATAAAACATAAGTAAGTAGAAATAAAATTTATTAGAAAAACTGATGAGGTACAATCTATTTATCAATGAACGCCAGTCCCGGCAATTTTTATTTTTTTGTAATTTGATAAAATTGATAAAAAAAACTTTTGATTTTCCAAAAAAAGTTATTAGCCCTTTTTACCTAATTACCTATTACCTACCAAAAAAAAAGTCTCAGGTGTGGCTATAGTCCTATAAGCCACACCCGTGTACACGCCTATGGTGCTACTGTTTGGTTAACGACAATCGTGGACGTCACATAACAAATCATGAACTATTTTATTATTATTTCACCATTGTGATATATTCCGACATCATGATCAGTATTTATTTTCAAATTATTTATTTCATTTACACAATGTATACAAAGTAGGAACAATAAGTGCAAATGATAAGAACACATTCAAAATTTCAGTTAAGGAATCCTCCTTGACGATACTCCCTAAGAATGTCTCTCAAGGGCAGTGATGTATTGCTAAAATAAACCATGGATATACGCTTTATTTCATGTAGTTAACTATCATATGATAGGAATCTAACTCATTCATGAACTACACATCCTTAATTATGACTGTTTGATAACAAAACTTGATTTTAATTGATAACAAATTTGAATTTTTCATTAAAAAAAGAAAAATAATTGTAATATATCCGATACCGAATCACGTCATACATATAATCACAAGTTTTATTAATTATACTTGTCAAATTTCAAGTTATACGATAGATACGGCCGTATACCCCCGTATACTCTCCAATACACCTCTGCTCAAGGGTGTCCTCAAAAAGAGAATTTGCTATTACCCCTTCATCACCCCAATGTCCTTTTTTTCTTCAAATTGTTGCTATTTAGGTATTATTCATATCAAATTAGGAAAATGCATGTTTGAAGTACCTACACCTCCCTCCTATAAAAGGATTTAGGGAAGCTATTGCTCCTCAGAACTTTACATTATTTACATTTGTAGGTTGATGATATGTTTTCCAAGGCGTGACACGTAGCCGCGACCAACAACAATGATTTGTCATCACAATGTATTTTTTCTGATGTTTTTTTAGTGGGAAGAATGTTGCAGCACTATTTGCTTTTGTTAAATGTACTTTGTAGTATCGACCATATGAACAAAAGTAATTTAGAGCAGTTTGTGCGATTGTTTTCATTTATTGATCAAAGCGTGAGATTTGGTTTGTAACATAGAATGGAGCATTCGTAATTAAATGGAAAATTTTATTTTAGGTTATTTGTATTTTGTTCCTGTTAGATTTTTAAGGAGTCCCCAAATTTGAGTATTGTGTGTCCATATTAGGTTGAAAAAAAGTGTAAATAGATTTAATTTTGTGCAGGATGTAAGTTTTGATTTTAAATGAAAGCGTTGTGTAACCAGTTCAGATTTTTATCATAGTATCTTTCGAGGTATCTATTTAATTGTATTCGAGATTGGTATTATTATGTTGTTTAATGTTATTAATGGGCATATTATGTGTTTGAGTGTAAATGAGATATGACATGATTTATTTTCATTAATTTTAACTTTCTAGTTGTTGTATCTTGACTCAAGTTTATGGAGATGGGATTGAAGATTTTCAAAAGTTGTATGAGAATTTTCGTGGATGGAAAGAATGGCTTTATCGTAGTGGCAGATTAACTTTCTTGGCACCCTGAAGCACGTTCAATATTGACCCCCCTTTTTTCTAAAACTATCCGAAGGTCGTAATTTGAATGGGCTAACATCGAAGAGTGATGAGTAATCGGGTATAGACGTCCCGGGAGTGAGAAGTGGTTCAAAGGTATTATGGTAGAAGAATTATTAATTTACAATTTAAATCAAATATTGTATTACATATAATATTACAAGTTACAATCAACGTTTCAAAATAAGGCTCCCTCTAGAGATTTAAATTATTAAATTTCGTATCTTTAGATATCGAATATGATGAATACTTACCTCATTTGAATGTCATTAATCTTTTTTTTTTTTATATTTTTTTCAGACTAAAAAAATATAACATAAAAAATTTGCCGCCCTAGACTCGAGCCTTACGAGCCTAGTGGTTTGCCACTGCTTTATCGTTGACATATACAGCTACTATAGTGTTGGGGATTTGGTCGGCAAATAATTAAGAGAAGAGGGGTAGTATCGTTCCTTGTGGGACTTCAGCGTTTTTTGTGTATTTAGATGATAAACTTAGTGATTAGGTACTAGTTATAAATGTTGCATGGAAAAAAAAAATCAAAAGAATATTTAAAATTATTATATTTTTGAAAAAAATGTATTCTTGAAATTCTAATTAGGTATCGTTTGTATTTTTTCATGATAAAAAATTAACCAAGATAACACAATCAAAATAACTATCCATTTATGTTTGGTAAAAAAAAATTCTTATTGCTTTTTTAGTTTAAATTGAAAATACAATGGTAAAATTATTATTAAATAATCATCATAGTGTAAGATTTTCGTACCAAGACAAGTTAGCCCCTGTGGCCTAATGGATAAGGCATCGGTCTCCTAAACCGGGGATTGTGGGTTCGAGTCCCACCAGGGGTAATCAAAAATTTTTATTATATTTTTTATTATTTCTTTCAATTATATTTAATTGATGCAATTAAGATAATGATGTGTATTATAAACATTTCTTTTAATTATGGTTATTAATACATTTCACTTATGTTACCTTTAGGTAGAAAATATAATAATTTTTTATGAAGATATTCGCATAATGTAATATGCGCCACTATGTACTCGACACTAAAATGGTATTTGCATATGATTCACCAAATATTTATATGCTCTTAAATTTTAAAGTTACACAAATATTGTCTGTAACCAACACTATGGTATATAATATTCTCTATAAATAAGCTTAATCATTCAGTTTTGTAACAACCCTTTTGTGAAAATTATAGAAAAACCTTTAAAATAAAGTGTATTTTACAAATATTTTATATACAGAAAAAAAATTATAAAAAATAAGTATTACAAAATCTATTGTGACATCAAATACTAACTTTATATTATAATGTTTTTTTTAAGATTTCTTGTAACATAAGCTAGTTTTTTAAATATTTTTTAGAAAAAAACATAAATTATATTGATATTAAGTTTTGAAAAATAAAATATTTATTTTTCATCTTTGTAATCTATCATGCATGATATAATACAACCGTAGTTATAATTGTTCAAACCGTGTGTTAAATTCGTTACCTGTGATTATGCTAGCAGTATATTTTCTTACATACAGATAGATAATTATCATTATTATTATTGAAACTAATAGCAACCTGAAAACAAAAATTTCCATCGTAAATCTCAAAATGTCTGTTTGACGAAAGCAAGCCATACTGGAAACTGTAGTCGTTTAAACGCGAATGGTATATAAGTCGGAATTATTGGGATGCGGGGTATCAAAACGTTTTATCCTTTTCGCCTGGAATGTCATCTTGAATTTTGAAATTTAATTAATTTACATAAGTGTTTTTAGCAGCCAGTATAGCTCGTTCACTCAACCAATCATATAATAAGTAATTTTGAGCAACATTTGGAAACACTTTTTGAATGAGTTCAGCTTTTGATTGCGTTAACTGACAAAAACTCTTAGGAAATGTGATGCAGCCAGTCAGTATATCTTTAGAAAATTTTCCATTACCAATATCAATGAGTTGAAAATTCAGAATATAGCAGTGTTTGTGCGAAATCATCATTTTGGCACGTCTCGAAAAAAATGGTTAAGCTAGTAGATGGTGGCTGGTGAGCTCTTTGTACTGCATTCTGAGCTGTGAAATGCACTCTCTGTCCATTTTCTAAGTGCATGGCTAAGTGAACAACTGTGGGGTGTCTTTCATGAATTAGAAAAAAAAAAATTCACCAAAATGCTTCATTACTACTAACATAGCGGCCCATTTGGTATTGGGTTACTTCATCATTTGAATTCTCTGAACCAAATCGAATCACAGCCATATCATTTCTTTTGGTTACATATTTACATATACTATATATACTTGATAGATTTTACTGAATGGCAAGATTCAATATTGATACAATATTGATATATGCTTTTTGTATTCTCTTGATGAAAAGCATTGTGCATTGGGCAATTGGGCGCGACCATCCCCAATTGACATAATAGCTTGTTTGACATCATTAAGCACATATCCTCAATGGAAATCAATGCCTGATTGTAAATTTCTTCACTTATTGTTAAATTCAGATTCCCTGTTCTATTGCGTATATTAAACAAAATATTGTCACACATATTATCTTTGTATTTTATCCACAAATCAATTAGTTTTGATAGGAAGCATGTACATATGATAATGGGAAACAATATTTGTATTTGATGAGCTTGTGATGAAATTACAGCATCATTGAGAGTTTGATCCTAATGTGCATCGTTTTCTAACAGTTGCAAACGATGACAGACTTCTCTGTAAGATCTACACAATTCACCATCAATTGTTCATAAATGTTGGAATGATGTTGGGCCACGCACATTGACTAATAGCAGCCGTAAATAAAAACACTCATCATTGCTTAGATGAACGGAATAAATTCGACCTATTGCATCGGTTGAATATACACCTGGGTAACCTGGAACTGCGATAATCCGGCGATTATCTATTTCAATATCTTGTTGATTTATTTTGACAATTGTTGATCTTTCATTGTCTGCTAGTGATCGCCGACGGTAAAGAAGATGTATTTGATAACTACCTCATGCAAGCCAGGATCTACTTGTTCATTAGTGATTTCAGCTGATATGACTTCATCAACTTCATTCGGTCTAATTTTTTCAACCAACCAAATCAAAATGTGTCCATGTGGCAATCCACGTTTCTGCCACACTTCAGAAGATATCTAGCAGCGTATCTCATCAAACACACAATTTTTAACAATTAAATCTATTTTATATGTCAATAGTTTTAATTGACTTTTAATTTTTTTTTTTTTTTAATTGACTTTTTTGTTTACTTTATTTAATTACTGCAACCATAACAACCACCTATAAACAAAAATGTCCATCGTAAATCTCGAAATGTCTGTTTACGCATCTCCCGGGGTTGGGCTTATTACTTATTAACTTCTTTTAAACCATTCAGGGCGTCATCCAAACGCGTACAGTTTGGCCGTTCTCGAATTTTAGCGAGACTAATGAACAGCATTTCATTTTTATATATATATACAGATATCATATAAATACAGTACAAACATTGTCAAACATTTACCGTAATCTAGTATTCAATCAATCAGGACATCCAATTATCGGTCATGGCTTGTATTACATTAATTTAATTTATTATTTTTTTATTTTTTGTTCATTTTTGGCGCAAAAAACAAGCGATTTAATCTTGTACACAGGGTACTGTAGTAGTGCTAGACCTTCGCGCTGGAAATTTTATGCAAAAGCTAAAATTTCCCACGTACACAAGAGGAAGGCGCTTGTACGGGGCACTCGGTAAACCCACCCCCAAAATCAAGAAAAATATACATTAATAATCAATAATTTTATGAATTAAGAAAAAGATTTTTTTTTTTAAATATGAAGAAAAGTATATATATAATTTATATTTTTATTCATACAAGAAAGTAGTAGTCTTAGATTTAAATTAATGTATTATATTACTTACTATTATCTTAATTCGTTACCAATCACTGACTGCAATGTTATAAAAAATATCCTAGGGGAAACATTTTTCAACCACCCCCCCCCTAAAGAAAATCCTTAATCCGTCACTGGGCATAGATAAAATTCTCACGGGATAACAGCGGTAGCGCACGCACGCACAGATCGTTATGGAAACGGTACGCGTGCGCAACAACAACACGATAAGCCGGCGGACGAGTGGTCCAATGGTAAAGATTGAAAAATTCAAAACGTGTTTTATGCCCGTTGTGCGGTTCGAACGCGGGCGCGTGTCACATGCTACCCGAACAGGAGACGAGCGGCGGCGGTGCGTCGGAATTCCGCGTACGCGCGCGCTTCTACGCGATCCGGCAGGTGGACGGCGAACGGGCGTACGACTGGTACAGGCGCGCGAGGACCGCCGCGGTCCCATGCGGCTTCCCGGACGACCGGCCGGTGGCTGACAAGTTCGTGACGGGATTGCGCCCGGGACCGGTGGCCGACCGACTGCTCGGCGAGCGCGCGGACGGCCGGCTGGTGGACCTGGTGGCCGCGGCGGTACGCGCTGAAGGGACGGCTGCGGTGTGGCAATCGACCGCGACCACTGCTCCTCCGCTCTTTCCCACCGATCAACCGGCGCCGTCGCTCAAGACTGACCACGTGCTCGACGAGATACGGGAAGTGTTGAAGTTTTACCGGTACGGCGACGAAGCCGTGGGCCGTGCGACACCAACGGGCAGCGGAGATCATCATCCGGTAATTTTCGCGTAGAAAGTTTTTTGTTTCCAATGTGTACTTACTTCCCGAAGACGCTCGGATGTGTGGTGAATATTTGATTCTCGCTTTGATTTTTTTAATAACGGTTTCCCTAGAGATTTATCCGATAGGTAATCGCGGTATTTGGTATCTCGTGCATGCTACTACAGGTGATTTATCCCCTTGATCACGAATCTATAAGCAGAGTTCAAAGAGAAAAAAAGAGCAGGGGAGACTCTAATCCATATATTATGGTTTTCTTTAAGTTAATGTTATTTATTATTTAAATCATACTAGGAAAATTAATAAATGTGAATACATGTATGAATTTTGCCTCCCCCCTCTATACAAGTGTTTAGGGACGTCACTGCTTAGGTTGTATGCTGTCGAGTTAAAAAAGAAAAAAATATTATTACAAAAAAAGTTTTTTTTTTTTTTTTAGAGTCTTGTTAATCATCATAATTGTGATTCTTCACTATCTGCATATGATGTAAACACGTTAATCGATGATACGAGTAGTACGACTACGCTTGATGGAAATGCGTGGTGGAAGAACAGAATTGAAAAAAATCCCAGACAACACGAGACGACCGAGATTAAAAATAAATATTCTCCGTTAACGTGCAAGAGTTGTTGCAATTTAGCTACGACTTTGTTAGATAGTTTTTGCATAAATACCCCTTCATTATTTCCTCAACCATTGTCGAATACGTATGAAAACTCTGAAAAATACTTTGGTAAAGATCAAGATCACGACTATTCCAATTGTTATTGTTCGTCTTCAACAAGTGACGAATACAAAGAAATTGATTATAGAACGACGAGTAAAAGTGTGAAGACTAGTAGCCCAAATTCGAAACGATTTGGTTGCCCAAATAAAATGCAGTGTTGTGTTTGTGACAGTAATGACAAAAGCTTTTCACAATAATATTATTCCTTATTATCATTTTGATGACGTAATATAAAAATAATAAATAAATTATACTTAACATTTTTCATATGAAATATTTGCTATTTTTAAATACAGTGCATTGGTTATACAAATAGTACTTACCTGGTTATCTATAAATCACGTCTTAGTGTTCACCAATTCGTCATAATTTCTTCATTATAAATTATAAATCACAATTATTACTTAGAATTATTATCTATTATAATATTATTTGTAATCATATATATTTATGTAACTCCAATTTTGAACATTATGTGATTAACGTTTTTACCGTCAGTAGTATCAAATTTTAATATCTTGGGTATCAAAACATTATTCTGAAAACCATAATTGTTCCCTAAAAAAATACGTAGAACATTATATGCAATTTAGTAATAGATAATACTTAAATGTATTAGAATATTGATAAATTGATCACACATTATCTGTTCCGTAATCATTTTGCTAAGGATTATTACCAGGTCAAGATATTCAATTTCAAGATATTTCAATCGACAATTACTTAGTAATAAGCTTTTCAAGTATGTGTAATTAACCGATTACATAGTGTTAATATATACATAAAATTTATAGTTATCAATACGATCGTAATAATATAGTTATCAATCAAACAAAACATTTTTTTTTAAAACTATTAGATTTTATTCTATAACACATATCTATTAGATATTAGTTTGTAAATTAATTAGAAAAAAAATTAAAGTTTATAAGAACATTCAATATATTAGATATAAACAATTATGTTATTCTGCTTAAATATATAAGTCCAAATCTCTTCAACAAATTAATTCTATTATATTCTCTGTCCGATGTAAAATTTTAATTAGTAACCTTATAAAATGTATTATTGTTCATCCTTGAAAAAACTATTTAGCATACAGTCATTTTTTTCTTTTTATAATTAATTTTTTCTACCAAGCATAATTTCTGAATATATAAATAAAATTAATTTAAATAATAAATAATAAAAATAATTTTTTACTTTTTTTAATAGCTCTTTAAACCATTATTTATCTGGATTGTTGTATGGAATAGTATAACTTGACCCAGATTTTAATGGGTTTTTTGTTTCACTACTAATATTAGTTATAGTTGTATTTATATAATTAATGATACTTATGAAATATTTTAAATTTTCCGATTAAATATGACCAGGAGAACAATTCTACAAAAACAAAATAATATTTTAAATAAAGAATTAGTGCTTATTTACTTATTCTATAATATTCCTTCTTTAATTGAAAATACCTTTTTTTTTTACAAAACCTTTTTCATTGGAAAGTTAGCGAAAAAGGTTTTGTAAAAGAAAAGTAATTTTTGATAAAGAAAGGGGTTAGAGGAGGCAATGGTTTATGACTTGAATCCAAACTTCGATTATCAGATAGAATATTGTCTGACAATACTGAAGACGAACTAAAAAAACAAAACCATTGCATTTATGCAAAATCTTAAGTAAATGTAAAATACTTAATATTCTAAACAACTAGGAAAAAATGTTAAGGTTTTTAAATTTATTTAAATTTTAATTAATGTAGGTGATTTACATTATCAAAATTTTCAATTGTTTTTGCGTTTTCTTAGGTATATGCATAGCGTTCATAAAATAAGTAGTAAGCTAAGATCAGCTGATTCCTAACTTTTTTGGGTCACCAACTCTTCGTAAAACAGTTGCTACTATATCAGGTGGTCAAAAATATTTTAGTTTTGAATGTAAAACAAAATGTAATACTGTAATAAACCAAAAATATAAAGGAAATGAACGGGGGAAATGTGGGATGTAGATCTTGGCGATGGGAACCTACTTGCGAAGGGCAACTTCACAGTTTTCCTATAATTGGTGAATTACCTTATAGTAATACACAAAGCCTAAATTAATTGGCTTAACATATCGAGACACGTAGTGTCAGCTGCAGTTTGGCCTACATCACAGCCACTCGACGTACGCGGAGGACAGTGTATTATTATGAATTATATTTTATTCGTGGTCGTGAGATCAACTCTGGGATACAGAAATCAACGGGAGGTTATAAGGTTAATAGGGGAATTTTAATAGGAGAGTTTTAATGGAGGAGATATAATATGTGTTATTCCACTTACCTTTCGCCTTGGGTGTAAACTTGAGTCTGATATGTTGAAGTATTCACGCTAAAAGTCCACAGGATGAGACACCAATATACCAGTGGCTCGGAAAATGTCTTTTACTCAAGAGATTAATTAGAAGAAAAATAATAAGAGTTGATTTTCTTTTATGTTGTAATTATTCAACAGTTATGAAAATCACACGAATATTGAAGAAGTTAAGTGAGATTAATTACAACTGTTAAGTCTGTAGTCTCAGCAACGATGGCTGGGACTATTGGCTGGTGCGATATCTTGCACTGCTTGTGGCTGCGTGGTTGATCCGATATCGCATTGCATGTGTTTACATGGTTGTTATGACATCGCACTGCGCTCGGACTGACCGTCGAGCTTCCTTATATAACCTTAGTGTCACGTATGCACGTCCTTTGTCGGTGATTGACCGAATTCGGGAAGGCGTCGGCACCATCAAATATTTTATTTAATTCATACGAGTCTAATGTACCAACTGTCATTGCTGGTCACGTAGGCGGTGTTGGTATATAATTTCTTTGGTCCCTCAGATCTCTAAGTGCCGAAGGGTCGTGCATGAAGGGTCATGCACTTGTACCTTTAGGTTCGTTATCGTTTATTTTTTTATTATTATTTGATTCGTATGATTTTCCTAACTGTTAAATGTATATTTTATTATTTATTGGTTGCTTATTACAAGTTTACAAATCCATGCCACAAGTCGGCATGTCTTTGCGAAGAATTACATGAGTGAGTATTATTATTAATATAGATATGATAGGAACATATGGCAATATTGATATAAGGGTGTTGAACGTGACTATGTGTCCATACCGCAAGTCGGCATGTTATAGTTTTTTAATAATTTATATAAATTAAGATTAATATTAATATAAATATGATAGAGTTAATATATGACAATATTTTTACAGCTATTGAATGTACATATTATTGGTGAATAAGGGGTTATTACATTGTAAAAATATCTAACGTTTTGTGAGATTTTTGTTGAGAAAAAAGTTGATTTTTATAATATTTTATTGTATAAATACGTGCCCAATTCTACATGTCTTTGAACTATTCGATAAATTAAAATGATGGTACATCGTGCCATACTAATAATAGTATCAATTTTAGATTGAAGTTAAGAAGTAATTTTACTATTTTCACGGTTTAATTATTTTGATTTAAGTATATAATTCTTTAAAATATTAATTTATAAACATTATCTTTTGTTTTTGTTAATGATTTGATTAAAATTAAAAAAATTCTTCTTTATCTTCTAGGCTTTTATGCCTTTAAGGTCCATCGTCACAACAAAATATTTTATTAAAATTAAAAATATAGATTATTATAAGTAGTTTTCGGGTTAGAAATAAAATTTCATGGAGTTGATGGTTAGTTGATGAAAAATATTAAAAATATTATGCAGTGTAAAAATCAATTTCATGAAAAGTTATGCATTTAATGAAATTATTTTATATTCCACCAAGTGGATAACTTTTCACGAAATGAGGAATTTCATTACATTTGCATATGTATTCCTAGCGTGACTAGACATGATCCGTAGCGACAGCCTAGATAAATTAACTAGCTCTACCTCAATGAACTGGTACTTTTTCGAAATTATAAGTCATAGTCTAATAATAGGGTATAAATTGTAATTAAAAAATGTTGATTCTTAAGAGCATATTTCAACTCAAATTTCGTCAGTATTTAGTGCATAGTTTATAACCTATTAGTGCATTCACAGGCTGTGAATTACAGCTCTGGTCATAATCCATTTTGCATTCTTGCCCTAAAGTTAGGTTGACCTTTTAGGTTCGTGCTTTTCAAAAACACTAGTGGCCTCACAAGCACCCCGGACTGCCACCTTAGACACGTCTATGATTTCTATGTACATATGTATATATGTATGTATGCATCATATTTCTCACCAGCTTTAATAGGACTAAGGATATCATTGTGAATGCTATAATGAGCAACATAGTTTACATCAGGAGTTTTTCTACATTTATTCTTATTTATATTGAAATCAACTGGATTGGATTGAACTACAGAAGAAAAGTTCTAAAAATGTTTATAATTAATTGATCTTACACACAAATATTAAAAAATGTTATTATAAATGTTAGTACTTACTTGTTTTTAATGTGCATTTAATTCTTTATCAACAAATTTTTCCAGTTCATTAAGCATTGGAAGTAATGGTGGAGGAGGTGGTATACTTTCTAATGAAAATGTGGGACTAATAGATATAGGTGGTTTGTGTGGTGGTGGTGGTGGTGGTGGTGGTGGTAAGGTTTTGACAAAATAAATATCGTCCTCAATTGGAGGAAGTGGCGGAGGAGGTAAGTTTTCGCGACCGAAATTAAATATGCAACCTGCACCAGTTGGATTTATAATTGACAATGTAGTTCTAAAAAAAAAAAAAAATGAATAAAATTTAATAATCTTAATCGGTTTTGAATCATAATATTAAAAGATTATCGATTAAAAAATATTTTTTACTTGCCTCTTAAGTGAATCAATTCTTTGCGGAGTGGGTGGTCTAATTTTACCTCCACAACTTTGTTTACCAAATGGATTTAATACTTCAGTCTTACCTATTGCGTACTGGTAATTACTACTATACTTCGTATTAGAATTGTATTTATTATTATTAACAATGAGTGGAGATTTACCACACATTAAATTATTATCATACGGTTCGGTGTAATTATTGCTAAAACAAAAAATGTTCCAATAAAATATTAACTAGATTATTATTTATTACAACACATGCAATATGCACTACAGTAGCGCCGAAGTCCAAAAAAATTAGTTGGATGAAAAATATTTAAAAGGCTACTATATCTTATTATCGGCTTTAATGACATACCGGAGGAGCAGTGGTTTTTACCTAAACAATTGATGTTAGGCTTTAATTTTGCAATGAAGTTTTCATACAGTTTGGCAGTCAATCTTCGACCTAATATGAAGCAATCTCATCCTAAATAATCTAAAGATGTCGGACCAAGGTCCGACTTCAATATAGGATTCGGCGCCATTGATGTACAATGTTTATGATCAAAATTTACCTTAGAATATTCTTCATCGAGAGAGTTTTACTAGTATGTCCATCGATCATGGTATTTACAGTATGATGAATATTAAGTAGTGATTTACAAGAAGACCAATGCGATTCGATACTATTTACCTGTAGATGACGAAGTTTATTGTACTTTGATGAATCAAACATCGTTGTCAGAGGTGGAATTAGGAATTTTTACGCCCGAAGAAAATGTTAAAATTACGCCTTATCATAGACTAATAATCAAATACTCTTCTCGAGAATTTTTCTAATAATTAATATATAATCATACTTATTGAGTTTTAACCTAATATCAATATTTAACAAAGTTAAAAATATCATATTAAGTTTTATTAATTACAAAAATTACACCCTCTAAAATTTTACATCCTAGGATAAATCCCCGTCTTCCAACCTCTAGTTCCGCCCCTGATCGTTATATTAGTGTTTTCTCCCATAAACTCAAATGGTTTAACAGAAAATATGGTCATGTCATAGAATATTTTCTGATAAGTATGTATATGATGATTGTAAATCAAAGTTTAAGTTGTTTCACCAATGTTATACATTTTCAAATAATATATATAAATATATTTCTTAATTTTTATGTGACATGAAGACGACTTTTTTGTTTATAGTTTTCATCATTTTTATAACTAAAATATTAACTCAAATGCGACGAGTGCTTTATATTTTAAAAAATTATTTCCATTACAGTTAACCATAAAACGGGACAATAATAATTGTATATTTTAGAACACCAATTGAAAATCATAGTTAGAATATCATTGTTATTTATTAAACAGTTTAAAATCATTTTTACCTTTAAATTCTTAACGTTATAGAAAATGTACATTTTTCAGGAGACTTAAATTATATGTTTAGTAATATACTTGTTATAATTAATTAATCTATTAAAAATGATATTACATTTATTTATATACCGAATTCATATATTTCATTGTTTGATAATCAATAATTATTGTAAGGTGTTAATTTAATAATATCTTAAAGATTTATTTAACCTTTCTCCGAAGCTAATAACAATACCTGAGATATTTTCAAGTCTTAAAAATAATTTATATCATGAAAACATAATTAAAATGCAAATCTAAGATGGCATGTCTTTAAATCCAAAGAAATGTTTTAAATATCTTACTTAACTTCTCTGAAATGTTACAAGTATTACTCATTATTTATACTTATTATTTTATTCAATATCAATTTTAAAATACTTTGCCGTTGAATTTACTACATCTTTATGACTTTATTATAAGTACAGTAGGTACTAGCATTGAATACTAGAATATATAAGTAATGGTATTAGGTATACCATAAATCAGTGGTTCCTAAACTATGCACCGCGTTGCCCTAGGAATATCACGACCACTTTCTAAGGGCACCGCGGTCTATGGTTCATAACAAATAGTTTAAAATGTATAAAATTGTTTTTCCTTATTGTTTTCGTAAAAACTTTATAGCAAATAATATAATATTTTCTATTGTATAGTTATATTGTGTAGATACTCTCATTTTAACCTTATAATATTTTTATATAATAATTATAATCATAATAACAATTATTTTTTAAGTTTAAAAATGCATTAATTTATACTTGAGTTAAATTTTAATAAAATTAATAAAATTGATTATCAATGAGTTTTTTTTTTTTGTTCTGTCTTAAATGTTATTCACAGCTGGGCACCGTAGCTAAGTTGGATAAAAAAAAAGGCACCGCGGAAATAAAAGTTTGGGAACCGCTACCATAAATCTAAGTAGGTACCTGATAAGTTGCTTCGTCATTATGAAAATTGTTTTGATGTGTAATAAACTTTCTATGCTGAGTAAACAATTGTCCGTAAGGTTCTTTTAAATTATTTGTTTGATTAATTATATTTTCATTACATCTACTACTGCTTTCTGATAATCCTGATTTTAGTCTACAATGCTATTGAGTTAAACACATGAAATTAATTGATACTTAAATACATATATATACAGTGGCGTAGCCAAGGGGGGGAGGCTAAGGGGGCTATAGCCCCCCGCCATGGGCCGTGTTTATATGTATAATGTATCTTGACTATTTAATAGAATCAATGGATGCTCATTTTAATCAAAGGCTTATTGATGTTATGCCACTTGAAGGACTTATTCCAGCCAATTTAAATATGTATGACGATAAAAATATTATAAAAACTGCTAAAATATATGTCCAAGATATCCATGATAATACCTCATCTACAATCAGAGCTAACCTGTTCATATGGAGGCAACAATGGAGTCAAAATACTATTCCAAAACCGAATTCTGCTCTTGATTCATTCTCTCATCACACCAATCTTCGACCTAACATTAAAATACTTTTACAATTATTCGCCACGTTACCAGTTACCTCTTTCACTTTGAAAAGAACGTTTTCAGCACTTAATCGCTCAAAAATTTTTTTAAGAAGCACCATGTCGGAAAACAGACTGAATGGGTTAGCTATGGCTAATATAAATAAAAAAGAGCAATTCGATGAAAGTGAAATAATAACTGAATTTGCCAGAAATTCGCCTAAGAGGATGCAGCTGTCAGAGTGGAGCAAGTGACTGAACACTGAAACCAAAATTATTATTATTATTATTATAAATTATATATTAATAAATATTTTTAAAACTATACTAAAATACTTGAATTACGTTTAGAAACTTGGAGGTAGATGGTAAGGGGGGGGATAAGGCTGAATTCTCATATTCTCTCTTACCTTACTTATCCAAAAAAGTAGTTAGCCTCCCCCCCATTTAAAAATCCTGGCTACGCCACTGTATGTATATATATATATATATATATATAAATTTAAGTACGTGTTGTATGACGTTTCAGAATATGAGTAAACTACTTAAAGAACTTACATTTTTTTCACAGTCGTGTAAAATCTTTTCTGAGGCTTTTAAAGTATCGGATCTCCAAAAGTTAAAATAGTAATTTATATCCGTGTAAAACTTCATACAGTCTTTTCCATCATTCCTATTTATATAAAATGTAAAACTAACATGTATACAATAATATAAACGTTTTAGGATTACGCTTTTTATTCAATTCTCTTAAATTATATACAGGCATACAGTCATATGGTATAACTAATAAATAATATTTTTATCGTATAAAATTACCGAAAAAGATTGAACTTATAAAGAGGAGGGGATTCGTCGCACCGGTTATACATTTCACGCAGTGACGAAGGCATACTATTTCTTGAAAAAATTTGCTGATCATAAACAATGGTACTTTTAAAAACCTTTTTCGTGTTTATCAACGATACTAAAACGCAAAAAAAATTAATTTATTAGTCCATCGTTTTCGAATATTTTTAAGTAATTATTGCTATATGGAACGGTAGGTGCGCCGAGCCCTATACAAATAATCACCGAATATCCAGAGTAAAAACAACTGTTTGCGGACCACAGATTAATAACCTCTTACATGGTAGTAGTCACCCAATATAATTATGAACACCTACCTTCTTCGTCAATAATATCTAATAGTCTTATGCTGGTGGACAGCCTATTTGACCGGATTTTCAACGCGCCGACACGCGCTACAAGGGAATGTGATTCGTGTATAAGTTCACCAAACAGATTTTCAGCGTGTTTCGATAGGCTTGACAACTGATATATTATATTGGCACAAGTGCCGTTTGTGACGGACTCCAAATGATCAACTGGTGAACTTGTTTTTCCAGAACTCTCATTGACTGTGAAACGGCTTATGCGTACTGGCTCCACAATCCTTGTTTGTAATGGCATGTTCTCACGATAAGTTTACTGTAAAATAATTTCGTCAATATAACAGTAGACATCGAGCTTTTTATTTTCCGTAACTATAGGCATTTTTTTTTTTATCTGAAAATTGAAAATACCGAGGGTGTGGAACGCACGGGCACAGTAGAGTTTCTATATAGCTGTAACGTTGTATATTATTTAAGATGTTAATATATACTTGAAATTATCGTAATTGGTTAAATACTTTTAGTCCGGACCTATCTGAGCAGGGGCGTGCTCAGAATTTTGTTTTGGGGGTAGTTTTAATTTTACAACTAGGTCATTAAAATAAGTAGATATAACCAATATGAATTTATACATAAAAAAAACCGTAATGTATATTACTGTCAAATATAAAAAACATATTTTAAGAGTTAATCTCATAAAGTTATAACTTCATTGTTTGTACTAGTATGTACATGGTAAGAAAAAAATATTTATACCTTTATCACTGGGACTGTATAATCTAATATAATATATGTTTTTTTATCTATAAGTCTATTTGGAATGGTTTTAACCCTCAAAAGTACCCTCTGGATTCAAGTAATTTTGATAAAAAGCAAAACCTAGTCCGACCTACAAAAGATTTTCATATCTGGTTTGAAAATGTATCAATTTCGATAAACTTTGAAGTTTATAATTAAATTATAATATTATAATACAATAATAAAAATACAGTATAATAATTAATAATCATATTACATATATAAATACATTTTACATTTACATTATAAATTATATTAAAATTTAATGTTTAATTACATATGATACGTTTTTAAAACTAATAAAAAATAATAATTCCAGTATTTGTGTTGTAGCAAGAAGTTTTACACATATTTTTAAGCATTTCTTCATTCATTAAGTCCATCAACCACTTCTTTTTGAAAAACATAAATTTAATTTTTAATAATTTTTTTATTATTAATTATTTCAATTTTATCTCTTGAATCTGAGTTCATATTGAATGAATAAATTTTAAATTAAACCAACAGACTACAGAGTACAGGTACTAAATAATAACTAATAGCATTGATTAAATATATAAATGTATATTTTAGCAATGGTAGTACCTACTCGCGGTTATTGTAATTGTAATCGCTTGGTGTTAATTGTCCGATTACCATAGTTTATAATACCAATTTAAATTTATTTCGTTAAGGCTAGGTTAATACGAGCGTTTTATTTTTCCAAGTAGTCTGAACATACATGCATAACGTTCATAGTTATAGCTCGGACAAAAATATATATAAGTACGATGTAACTCAGTCATTTTATATATTTTATTAGTGATTAAAACGAATATTTAATTGATAATTTCATTAAATTATTATTATTAATTTATTAGAATAGTTACTAAAAACACACTTGTTTAAAGATGAGTGAATTATGATTGTTCCATCAGCATTTTGTGAGAAGCCAATTTTTTTGTACCCGGTCGATTTTCATTAAAATTTATATAAACATCTTTTAACTATTGCAAATATTTATAAAGTATACATTTACTAATATAATTAAAATCTCATATGAAACTAAAGACATTACTTATTAAATATTTCAAATAATTCACAAGAATAATAAACGACTAACTATGAAAAAAAATATATTCAGATAACATTTGAATGTACATACATTATTTATCTTCAAAGGAAATATTCATGATTATTTTCTATACAGGGTGATTATTTTATTAAGCATACAAAGTGATATCTGGTGTCTAAAAAAATATTTATAATGGTTCATATTTTTTTCTGTAATTTAAATAGTTATTTTAAAATATTATTTAAACAATATTATTGCTGTGCTATATAAAATTGTATAAACAATATTATAATACAATAAGAATGCCAAACATTTTTATTTTATCTCTCTCCAGAAAATAATAATCCGATTATGGTCTTGATAACGATTATATGATTAGTATCAACAATTAAAAAAAGACAAAACAAAAACTCGACTATTTTGTCAAAATTATAATAAATAAGAAACAATTGATTGTCTTTTGAGTTAAAAATTTAACAATTGCAACTCTTTTAAAATAATATAGTTTATACGTTGTTATGATAAATTTAAACTTTTATATTAAACTTTATTTTAAGTATTTGATTATGAAAATTATTTACACGAAAAATTATATTATTCATTATTTTTTATATAAAAAACGATTTATAGCTTTTTCTGTATTTACATCAATATTCCTATGCACACTGAGTAATAACAGGCCAATTAATCTGTCTTTTTCAGATCTATTCTCTAGTTTTTTATGATCTTTAGATACGAAATGTACCTAAATAAAACCATCAATAATGCATTCTATAAATAATAAATAAAATGTGATTATTTGAATGTTCATTTACTTATTACTAACACTCATCACGTAAATTTATATTTTTATACTTCATGACCATAATTTTTATTGTTTTTAAAATGTAGTTAAAAACGATTAGAAAAATTATCATTTTCAGAAACTTGACGTTAAAATTAAAAGATGCCAAATAAAAATATAAATATTTCATGAAAAAAATAATCATTTACTTTTTCAAGTAGGCTGTATTGTCATAGATTATTTTTTAAAAAAAAGCACCCTGTATATTATATGTGTAAATGTTCGTTCGTTGAATTATGAATATACTGATAAATACTGGGTTCCTTCGATAAGCCATGTATGAATATAATACAAGAAACCAATTTTTTTTGTAATAAAATAATAAAAATTTAATTTAAAAATTATTAAAAAAATAATATTCGTAAATTAATATATAAATAAAAACAAATAGGTTTCTATATAGAAATAAATAAATAAATAAATAAAAGGCTTAGCTTGGAATATTATTATATTTGTTAGGTACGACCGGTTTCAAATTAAAAATTAGTCTTCAGGTTTATACAAAGTCAATAAATTCAGACTAAATAACCTGACGACGAATTTTTTTTCGAAACCGATTTTGTATTTTAAAAATATAATAAAACTTCAGGATAAGTTTTTATATGTCTAAATATAGACTATTTGTTTATTTATTTTATTTATATTAATATCCTACTATTCTAATTAAATCTACAAGCAAATTTTTACTAATACTAACAATTCCTCAATAATAATTTTTCATGTAAATAGTTCATGCATACTCAATTAAAATTCTCAAATAAAATGTTTTTATTTCCTATATTTTATAACGTCAATTTAAACGATATCCATATCATTTACACACAATCAAGTGGTTTTATATTTTTTGCTTATTATTCTTGATAAACTGACTATTATAAATCAATCCATTTATTGACTTTAACTCAAAATTATTTTTTTTAGAATTTTACCACGTTTTTTTTTATTACATTGCAATAATGAAAAGCACACAATTATGTAAGTACATGGAATTATAATAGTGGTAGGCATAGTATATACAGTGAATAGGCAAGAATGCAGGGGGGAGGGGTCAACCTTTTCCGAAATATTTGAATAATGGTATAAAAAATATCTTAAACTACAGATTTAATAGTTATTTCAGTTTCCCATGAGCTTTGCAAATAAAATATATAATTATATATATTATATAAGTATTAAAGCATGCTATTTATCATTTTACATTTATTAAACCTTTCCCCCATGACATTTTTCTGCTTTTGCCACTGATAGTATTAAATATGAAGTATGTTCAAAGTATGAATACTTTTGGTTTGTGAGGGATGTCATAATATAGTATATAATTAATCTATAATAATAAAGGTACTTATATGCTTTTTATAACAATCAAATAATTTAATTATAATTTTCAGAAAATAAAAACCTTTAATTGATAAATAATAATCAAATATTAATTTTGATGTTTTCATATGAATTTTGTTCATGAGACTTACGTTTCATTTATATAAACATTCAATTTAAAAAAATAATATTATTACAAATGTCACGATCATACTACAACTAATATATTTAAAATTTATTTATTTTTATTAATAAACTTAAAACTAATAGCCATGAAAATGTAAGTTTAATAATTATAATAAAACTTGACTAACTTGAAGAATTTATGTGTTTATTTAAAAACTTGGGTTTCTAATTGTCCATTAATAATTCCATATGTTTTACCTAGGTTCTAAAAACCTAAGTTATTTGGTTACAAAATAATTTATCCTTGTTCTATTAAAATGCTTTTTCTTTATAAAAATATATTTTAATTCATAATATTGAATAACTTGGTATAAATAAGTAAATACATAAGGAAAGGTACAAAATAACAAACCTTTTCACTTAAATTAAAATATATAAATAAGACACCAATAGGTAATATAACACTGACTTCTGTTATAGAAATATGGACAATCTATAATATGTGATTTACTCACTAATTAATAATGGACATTTCTTTATGAACTATAGTTATTGTAGTTGAAAAAATAATTATGAGTATATAAATAACAAAACCATTTTTTTTTTTTTTTAAATCGATAAAAACATCGATTTTATTTGGGTTACAAATAAATAATATAATTCATAATGCACAGGTTAAAATAATATGATGGATAAAAAATATTAAATTAATATATTATATTGACAAAATATAAATATAAAACATTACACTTTATAGTCTACTTGTATAATATATTATATACCTTCTATATTTTGAATGTACATTTATTTATATATTTAACAGTAAGCTTTGGGTTACAAATATACAACACTGATATTTGTTCTTTTCTTTTTTTATCTCTTTCTTTATATAATATAATATACATATTATATATATTTACACAGTACAAATAACATAGACTTTCAAACTCGTAAACAAAATATAAATAAATAAAAGATGAAAAATTAACTAAACAATATATTATAATAAAAATGTTATATCAAATACATTATTATAATGTAATTAACAACATATCGATGTAGTTATATGCAATTTAACAAATGCGTTTTGTTATTAAAAAACAAACACTAGAAGTTTGTTCTATGTAGCATAAATAGATTAAGGTAATATTATTTATTATTTTTAAATGATTACTTGTAAAAATATTATTTGAATTAAAAGTTGTCCCACAAATAACTGTCATATGAATTTAATACAAATAGTTTTTTTTTGTCATTTAAATTTAATTTTAAAAACTATATGATTAATTATAGAATAGTTTTATTATTTTGTAATTTTAGTAAGAATAAATACATGGATATTGAGTGGCATGGAATATGTTAAAAAAAAGGAACTTTAATTCAATTACTAAGAAAAATATCATCTTAATTGAACTTGTGTATAGTTTGCTGAATTTAATGGTGTCATAGTAGTATGTGCAACAGTGTTCTACGTATAGACAAAACCATATTCAAATATAAGTCAATTTGAAAAACTATTTGAGCAAAGTTGAGCATTTTCTCTTCTTGTTCATTGAACATAAATTAAAATTAGTCTTATTTCTGTCAAATAACAAAATAATATTCAATTTGTTAGCTGCTATGGAATATTGCACACAATATTAATGGTAGCTAATAACTACCACATTTTTTTATTTATTTATTTTTTTTTAATAACACTTTATATTATATTTAATGCAATAAAATAAATTAAAATAATTGATAGTTATTTGTTCAAATTCGGAAATGAAATTCATAAATTAGTCATAATATAATTCATTTATTTGAAAATAAAAATAATTTATTAATAATAAATTAGTGGTTTGTTAAACTACTATCATATTTTTTCATTTGTAATAAATAAATTATTAGTAATTTTGTACATAAAAATTCTTTAAAATAATGAATTCAACATTTATAATTAACTCAGTGAAATATAAATTAACATACTATTGTGTATAAAATAAAATTGGTATAATTATTCATTTGGCACTAAAATGCGTATGTTGCATGAAAAAATAGGAATAAGAGTAGCAAATAAATTATTATTATTATTAAAATGCAATATAGATACATCTGTGATTATTTTTAAGAAATTATTAAAAAAAAAAAAAAAATAAGTTAAATTAAAAAATAATTAATTACATAAATATTTAGGTTTGTAAACTATAAAAAGAAAAAAAATTGAAAAAAATTAATGGCTTTTTTTCAATAGGAATTATTCGATTTTGTTGACTGTAATATTATTTTATGAAAACTAGCTAATGCATCAGATTGTTAAATATCATCAAACAGAAAAATATGGATTTTCAACACAAGCACATAGACACACAGGAAACAAAAATGATAGCTAATGAAACTTTTAAAGTATTGATAATATAATAATAGAATGACAAGGAATGTTTGATGAAAATTATGTTACTTCATTTATTCACTATGCGCAAGTTTCTTCAGCCCAACCATCACTGTCATATTCACTACCTGATGCTGAATCTGAATCAGAAATTTCAACAGCTACACGACGGGCCAATATTGAAGCAACATCATGCAATGCATTACTACGTTCTCCTTCTTTTTGTTTAATTTTTTCTACTTTTCTCAATTCAACACCTAAACATACACAAATTACACAAAAGTTATTAATTGCATATAATTTATTAATAATTAATGTCTTACCATCTCTAATTGCTTTAAGTAAATCGCTACGTGGATCATAATGAGTGACATGACCTGGCCCAGGTGTTTTTCTTAATGCACTCACAGTGCCGCTACTGATATTGGTAACAGTTGTTTTTAAATCATTAATAACACCATTAAGCTGTCTAACATTGTTACATTCAGCAGGGAGTACTAGTGGTTTGGATTGAATTATGTGATTAGGAGGAGATTTCTATAAAAATATCAATGCATAATTATCTGATCTTGTATTCAAAAATGTATTCATAAATTAAAGTACTTACTTGTTTTGGAGGTGATTTTATATCTCCATTAGCTAATGTTGCTGGTGGATCAGGCATTGGTGGTAATGGTGGAGGAGGTGGAATGTTTGCTGATGGCAAAGGAGGGCTAATAGATACAGGTGGGGGAGGTGGTGGTAAAGGTTCTGTAAAAGGTAAATTGTTCTCAATTGGAGGAGGTGGCGGAGGAGGCAATGTTTCACGATTGGAACTCAAACTGCGACCACGAGTTGGAGTGCTGGCCGATGAAACAGTAGGGGTACTAAATAAAAAAAGTATAATTCATAATATTTTTTTTATTGTTATGATTCCAATAGTAAAAGAAAACTTATTAATTTATATAAATATATTATTATTTAAATAAAATGCTTTGCTTACCTGTTATTTGAATTATTATTGCTTGGTGGAGCAGGAGGTGGTTGAGATGGTCTAATTCTACCTCCTCGACTAGGTGTACCCAATGGACTTATTACTTCGCCCATACTTCCTGTGTATTGGTAATTGTTTTGTTGTGTTTGATGATTGTATACATTTGATTCATCATACATCATATTACTACTAAGTGGTGCAGCATAGTTATTGCTAGAACAAAACATATTAATAGAAATATTTACTATTCATTCGGTATTTAAAATTCAATATATACATTATCAATATGATAAATGCAAATTTACCTATCAATAATATTCATAGGGGGAGGACTGTAGATATGTCCATCTACCATGTTATTTCCAGTGTGATTATGAAGTTGCTCTGGACCATAAGATCTACGTAACTCGATGCTATTGGGTCTTGATGGTCGATGTTGATCATTCATTGATAATCCTAACATCATTGTGCTTTCTTCCATGTATTCATACGGCTAAACAAAGCATAAATACATTTTTAATTAATAAAAAAAAAAATAAAATATTTAAGTTCTTCAAAAGGGTGAACAGTTTTCTTCTTAGAAAATTGACTATTTTCAGTTAACTAAAAAAAACTTAAACAAAAATTAATAAAATTAATTTTGCTTAAAATGTATGATTACTTTATACAGGGGAGGATTTTATTACTAACCAAGGGAGGGGCTAATGGAAGTTTAAGAATTTAGTAAGTTGGTTTTTTAAATCTATATAAAATTTTAAATTACATAATATGCTTTTGAGTCCCTCATAAGTAAGTCATTTTTTTCACAATAATGACAAGTTTGAATAGTTACATTATTGGTATCAATTTTAATCAGAAACCATTTTAAAATATAGGTAAATACATATAATTAACAACAAAAGTGAGCTATTTATTTATAAAAAAAATATATAAAATAGAGACCATATTCATCAATGATCATTGACAATATTTTATTATAATTATTAATATATAATAATACTTTGCTTTGTAAAATATATAGCTTAGTCCCAAGTGGAGGGGTATAATGTCCCCTTAGTCACCCCCTTAAACCTACCCATAACTTTATATGAGCATATTTTGGTATTGCTATGTTTCTGATATATTTGATTTGATCATTACATATTGTATATAATTATTTAAATACAAGCTATATGACAAATATTTTAAAGTCCATATATATATAAGAATATGTATATAAGAATAATAGGAATATCAATAAAATGTTAATTACATTGAACATTAATTGTTAAGTGTATAAGTATAACACATTTACTTGTTGCTTATACTAAAAAAATATAACATAAATTTAGTTGAAGAAGATAAATAGATTAGGATATTATCAGGTTATCTTTGGAATAATTTCTAATTTCTTCATTACTTAATAATTTATAATATACCTGATGAGGGGCCCTATAATGGGAATTATCTTGAGGCATAATATATTCTCCATGTTGAGTTGCCAGTTGTCTTTGTCTTTCTCTTGTACTGTATGGTTGTCTGACTCTTTTTTTATGTCGGCCACCACTACCTTCAGTTTTGGGTCTGTGAGGCTATTGTATAAAAAACATAGAAAATCATTAATTTATAATTTTAAAATATAATATTCTAATGAAAATTATAAATATTGAGATCATACTTTTTTTCCACGATCATGCATCATTTTTTCTGTATCTTTTAACATTTCTAATCTCCATAAATTGAAAAAGTAATCTGGGTCAGTGTAGAACTTCATACCATCTTTACCATCCTCCCTGAAAAAAAAAAAAATTTCATGTTTTAATTTTAATGATGAAGTGTTTAGGTTTTTCTATACTAGTTACCTGTAAGGATTAAGCTTATAAAGAGGAGGTGGTTTATCACATTGTGAATACATTTCAAGCATTGGTGCAGGCATTGTGTCTCTTGATAAAACTTGCTGATCGAAAACAATAGCACTCTTAAAAGCCTTTCGCATATGAATGTCTTGCAAGGATACTAAACAAAATAGATAAAATTTGTGATTTAAAGTAATTTTAATAGAAATTATATTAAATAAATATTAATTACCTTCTTCGCCAGTACTATCTAATTGTTTAGTGTTGACAGATAATCTATCTAACCTAATTTGTAATGAATTAACTCGTACTGTAAGTGAATGAGCTTCACGTATAAGCTCACCAAACATATCTTCAGCTTGTTTAGATAAGCTTGATAACTGACGTACTGTATTAGCAAGAGTGCCATTTGTAACAGCTTCTAACTCATTAGGTATTGAATTTGTAGCGCCATAACTCCCTGCTTGTGAGACTGTGTTACGTGCTACATGCACGGGTTCTACGACACGCTTTGGTAATGGCATAGTTTATGTAAACTGCAAAATAAAATTAGCATAAATTAACAATAACAATGAAAAATATTTTATTTAGATAGTTGGCATATATAATAATAATATTAGGACAAAAACTGTAAATGTATAAATGTAGATAGTTCAGTAAATAATAAATATAAACATTTTCAAATTTATTACGATTCCTATCATATAATATAATAAAAATATAACAAATTTTTTAATTTTTAACAGTCATAATGAGTTAACCAATAAACAAGTATAATATAATAAATATTAATAATTATGCATACAGTTTAATTTGTTATAGTTATAAGGTATATGTGTATATTTAATTATTATTATCTATAAGATTCAAATAATTAAAAAATTTAATTTTAAATTAAAAAGCATACTTTGAACATCACAAAATGTATAATACTATTATTGTTTCAATAAAACATTTATAATATTATGTTCCCTTATTCCCTTCAATTTGTATCAATTACAACTAGTTATTATGGAGTTGAATGATACTATGACTCAGTCCAACTAGAGATGAGGGCCAATTTAAACATTAATTTGTTACATTGACATACATATGAGGCATGTTATAGTATATTAATTAATAATAATATTCAAAATTCACATCAATGATATGCATAAAAATATCAAATGGTAAAAATGTATTAAATGAAAAAAGCAGATATAATCTTAAAAAAAATAAAATAAAATTTGATAACATTACTGTGATTGATTTTGATTCACTATCACAGGTTTGTCATTTATTTACTAATAAAAATGATTTCATCAAATATTCTATATAATATATTAGGTGCATAGGTTTATTTTTTTATTGTTGATCTTAACCTCAAAAACTATGGTCATTTTAGGTTTATTCTATATAATATTGAATATTAATGTAAAGATAATTGTTAATATAAAATATTAACTATCAGTATCAGTAGGTACATATATAGTAGCAGTAACATAGTTATAATTTTGAATTACTAAATGATAATATTTTAATATCATTAGCACAAAAATAATTATTGAAGCTTATAAGAATTATATCAGCAATGGTAATATAAACTATAAGATCATATGGACAATGTCAAAATTGATAAAGAAATGCAAGCCAAAAAAAAAATTTACTCTACAAATTAAAGTGTTGTAATCAAAAAAATTATATTTTTAATATGTATATAATTTGATAAATAGGTACTATAAAACAACCAGATTTTTGAACATATTATATTGATTATGGTATGACAATTAATACACATAAATTAATTATGTTATCTAAATGTATTATTAATTTTAATGTTATGATAAATCTGTTCAATTTTATAAATTAATTATAAATTAATTATATTATCTAATATCTTAATATTTCATAATTTTTCTTCTTAAAACTTTGTAAAATATAATATATCTTAGAAACAATTAAATACTTTAGAAACTACAGTTTTTAAATAGAAATACATTTTTTACAAGATCAATTAAAATAATAAATTTTAGCTTTAATTTTTCAAATAAATATAATATGTTAAAATTTTAAAATTATTTAGATACAAACGTGGGCAATATACAAAAATAGAGATATTACACAATTTTAAAAATTATTTATATATAATTTAAGAAGACAGATTAAAATGTATATTTATTTTTACTCAGTAATATAAATATTTTAAACAAGGAATCATTATTATTATGAAGCATGAATCATAAATAATATTATAATAAGTAGCAATAAAACATTATCAACATTATTTATTATATAAATCTACTAAGAAACAACCTTATTAAATAATTTAACCTATATAAATGATAAGATTATAAAATATTTAACCATTCCAATAACTGCAATCTCAGATCATATAAATTACTAGCATATAATCTAAGAATGCATTCAGTATAAAGATTTTTTAAATATATTGTGTAATGTATGTATTATTTTCCAAATATAATTATCTACCTACTTAGAAATATTTATTTTCAAAATATGTTTTACATAATATACAATCCAAACATAATCATTTAATTTACATAAAATTGTTTAGATACATAATTAAATAAAAATAAAAAAGTACTTGGATATATTAAGAAAAAGTTTTTTTTTTGATAAAAACCAGATTTATATCTTCTGTTTAATTACTCAGATGTTATCAACTGCATATTTATAATGATAACCATTGTATGTATTCAGCTTAGTACTCAGTATGCAAGTAAGTAGAGATAGTCTCAAAATCTATATCACATATAGACCTTTAAAATAGAGTCAAATCACACATTTGACCAACATTTTAAAACTTTAAAACAAAATAATTGTTAGAAAATTAAAGTACAAAGTGGTTATTTATAAAATGCAAACAGTCATTAGTCAAGAATGTTTGTTTTGGGCGTTTCCCATAAAAATGAATAAAAATTTGTCTTAAGCGTATGAATGGTCTTAAACTGATAAATAAACTAATAACTGATATTATAAATATGTATGCAATAACAAATAACAAATAATGTAAAAATACACTTCAATGTAAGTATTATGTATACATCTTAAGACAGTTGACATTACAAAAATGTATACAAAGTATTGATAAATGATGTATAGCTAAAATTAACATCAATATAGAACACATCTACAGACATATGCGGTGAGAAGAGCAATGAAGAGATATAATTAGTGATGAATCATGGAAAACAAATAAGTAATTTTAAAACACAAATCACTTAAAAGAACAGTGAACGAAAGAGTGAAAGTCTTGGTGCTGATCTGGGTACAAAACAACTAGCAGTTCAACCGAAGAGTCTAGATAACGGCACCGATCATCGTCAAAGAGAACTCGGTCGGTGAATACAGTGCGCAGGACTACACCCCAGAAACATGACGAATCCAGACATGATCACTCACCTCGGTGGTCATTTAACAGAGGCGAATTGACCGATCCACTGCGGGCGCCTCCGATTGTTCGGATCCGGCACGTCCGTCACGGGCACAGCATCGCCACGGTCGCGTCGACAGGCCCGCGGGAAAATGCATCAGGCGACCAACAGCGGGTAACAGGACGCGTGCTGCGGTACGAGAGACACGGCCAGCGGACTCGGGACGGCAGGACACTGGACTACGCGCAAACAAAACGGAGCCAACGCAATAAACGCACACGCTCAAGGACTACTGTTGTGGCGTCGAGGCGGAAAACGTTCAATAGTCGATACCATCGATTATCAGTCGAGCTGGTGTCCGCGAACGAGAGATCGCAGTACCGACAAATGGCGTATCGTAAATAGCGTGGTATACCGCCCTACCACGGGTCATGGAAGAAAATATTTACCGAGATATTGTTGTTGTTACGGCGCGCCGCGGCGGATACGTCACGACCAGCCGTCCGTCTTTCCGTAATGTTTCTGGGAGTATATTCGCCACACCGGTGCTATAGTGAAAATTAAAAATGAAATTATTGTTTTAAAATCATTTAAATAATAATTTAAACATTTTCTAACTAAACGATTTCGAAGCAGACAACATGCATAATATTTAATTTTAACAAACTCATTTTTTGTTTTGGTCATATCTGCAAGTTGCAGTTATTAAATTAAGTACCAGCCGCAAGATGCATATTATCAATGAAATATGAAAACAATAAAACATTTTATCTTCAATACATCAAACAGTTTAAAAGAGGAGGATGAGAAAATAAAATATTTTCGTCTGAAATAAATATATGTCAAAATATAAAAATAAAAATAAGGAACAAAAGTATATTAATTTTCTTTGTTTACTCTATAGAATCGTATATACCTATGCGGCATAAATCTAGTTTAACGCCTACTTGAATTATTCATTTATTTTTTTTTTTTATAAATGGAATCGTTTTTTACGCTGAGAACAATGGTGCAATCAAATTAAGCGGACGAATTTATTTTTTGCGTGTTATATCAAATAATTTATTTGGTTACCCATATTGTTATAGTGTCTTGGTACTGTGAGTCCGCTTTAGATCTATAAATTCAAGTTCAAAACTGACTTCAGTATGAGATACATTTTTGCAATTTTTTTTTCTAATTTTTTAAATATTTTAATTTGGGAAAATGATGACCTAAAATGTAAATTTTTAATCTATAATTTACTTGAGGAGGTATAGCATAGCAAATCAAGGTATATTTTCGTTTTAAGCTGTCCGACCTTACTTAAATACAATTTTCATTATCCCATTATCGTTTGCGTAGTCATAACATTCCATTACTTTCGTTTACAATCAAACGAATGTTAGTATGTGGATATTACATTTTAAATGATTTAAAATAAAGAGATATTATTTGTTCAACTGTAGATAAAATATAATACCTATTTATTTTTGGTTCATAACTATTTCTAACGCAGTAAACATAACACGTGCACTTAATATTTTTCAAGTTTTTTAACAATTTAATAAATAGTAATAATAATTAATAATATGGATTATTGTAAAATTATTTAAATTATTTGAGTGTAATGAAGACGGTCAATTGTCAATGTCAGTTATTGAATAACACTTCAACTGTGGAGTCTTTTGCGAAAAACAACAACCTAAAATGTAAAAATGGTAATTTTGCTAAATTATGCCTGCACACAGATTTCATCGATGGATTTGTTTGGCAGTGCAGAAAATTTTATTAAAAAATAATCGAAAAAAAGTGATCTGTGATTTTAAATAATCGATAAGGAAAAGCACGTTCTTTAATAAAACACGTGTCGATTTATTGTATTGTAATATTTAGATATTTATGAACGGAGTAGGTTTCTTTCCTTTATCAAAAACGAATTAAAATTGCTCAACAATCTGCTGTTGATTAGGCATCTTTCCATCGAGAAGTTATCTTCGATGGATTATGTCACGATAAAATTGGTAATGTTATTTTTTTTTAATTTCTAAAAAGCAAAAATAATGTTCTTTAATTATTTACTAAATTCACAAACCGGTTGGTGGGGGGGGGGTGTTTTTCCACGTCACCTAATATTTAACTACTACTATTACAAAAGTAATAAAAAAAATCTTTATGTAAAACTTTATTATATATTTCAATTAGTATAATATATAATTGTAAATATTAGTTATAACTTATAAATATATAAGGAACCTATTTTTATCAACATAAATAATAATAAAAAACAATTACTGTTAGTAACATATATTATAATTAAAATTACATTATATTACTATTGTTAGCATTTGCAATTCAATAACTAAAATATAATATAATATTTTTTACTGTTGCCTGTGGATGCAAAATGATACTTTTTCCCCCCTAGAAAAATTGTCGTGAGTGCAACTGCACCCTCATGCTCCCCCCAGATGCCGCCACTGATTACGAATGTGGTGTAGGGTAAGTTGTAGAAATTGATGAGTTAAAATTTGGTCGATAAAAATATAATAGGGGTCATCGAGTAGAAGGGCAATGGGTTTTTGGTGGAATAGAGCGGATAACAGGCAAATGTGTTTGTACTCGTAGAATGTTGTGACAATGAAACATTACTGGTGTTGGTTAAAAAATGGATTTTGCCCAGTACATTGATCGTTAGTGATTGTTGGAAAGCATGTGGTCTCTTCTTATTTTAATATTAACCATAAATATTTGATTTTAGAGTTATGACTATTTAAAAAACGAAGGTTACGAACATTCAATTCAGTTTAAACATCCTGATACCGGCGCACATACGAATATTGAGGGAATGTGGCATCACGCTAAGGCATCTATGGGCCAGTACTCGCGGAAAAAACAATTTTATATACATACAGTATGTAAACGTTAATTGAGAACACTCGATATCTTTACCTAGAGACCTGCAATTTAAATTCTGTTTTTTAGTTCGTTGTTATAACATAAAAATTGATATTTTTATGACCTTTGAATTTGTTTAGACTAGTGCATGCGTAGTACATTTTTTTAAATGGCAACCAGCTATTTTAACTAATTTTAATGAATATTGATGATTGAAACAACTTAAACAAAAAAAATAAAGGTAAAATGCAAGCGATTTTCAGTTTTTGACAGTGACTTTGAAAATAATCACTCTTAGATTGTTTAGGCTTGACATTTTCATCCCTATTTACCTTAGGTGATATTTACACGTAATTATGATTTTAAATACTGTTAATTTTTACTTTATTATATGTAATTATAAAATTTAAAAAAAAAAAAAAATCGAAATAAGTTTATTATTACATTTAATGCATCTATTGTACATTAAAATCAAATTTGATTCTCATTTAAGTTGAAATTGTATTTAGTTATTAATTAATTTAACTAATTGTTGTCTGCCGCGAACTAAACATTTATTCAGCATGCCACATAAATTTTTCATTTATTACAGCCAGGCCCATGTTCAAGGGGAGGGGGAGTTCTACCCCCCATGAGGATATTCTTACATACATTTTTACTAAAAATATATCTAGTTCTTATTTTATAAAAATTAAACTAACTTGAAAATTCATTTGTCCATTTTTGTTATAAAAGTGTCAGTTTTTTCATTTTGACTCCTTCTTCTATTTAATTTTTGGACATTTTCCATCTAATGTCGATTATCGTTGTTAGTGCAGATATCGATACAACGCATTTTTACTGGCAAGTCAGCTGTTCAGACATTTGTTTACATTTAATGATTTTCAATCCTGATATTTTTGATCATGGATATTTCTACATGTATTTTTTTATTTCATTTTTACCTAAGATAAGATATATAATTTTGAATCTCTTCCTTGAATGATTCCTGTACACACGTCTGGTTGCAGCTGTAATTTGTACTACAGTCAGTTAATTGCATGTTGCTGTTATTTTATGTCATTATCCAGGTCTTGGATTACTTATGTAGATTGTATATAATCCAGACTTAATGCTAATATTATTAAGATTGTTAATAATAAATTGGAGAATCCTTATAATATTTTCTTAATAAAATGTAATTACCTATAACTCATGAGTTGAAATGACAAAAGAAAATATATCATGATTGATAAACTTGATAATAAATGGAAAACGCAATATATATTTTTTAGGGGAGGAGTAAAAGGTAAGGGTAACAGAAATATACCAGTTCCTAATTTATGAGTTTAGTTTATAAGTTGTATTAAAATTAAAAATATGATTTACATTTTTTGATTTGAATTTCGAAGGCCAGAAACTTTTGTTCATAATTAAACTTTAGATCATTAGATATCAATTGTTTTGATTTTTAAAATCTGAAAGTTAAATTACAAACTCATTTTATATTATATTACAAATTACAGGATGACGGAATTATGAGATGATTTTTTTTCTTAATTACCTATAAATTTAAATTTTGTCAGGTTGAGGCCTAATATCCAACAATAGTTTGGGCTTATGTTCCAACATCAATGATTTATTTATTTAGCATACAATCAGGGCCGTGGAGAGAAATCAAGGGTCCCAGGGACAAATTAATCCAGGCCCTTCTCACACGAGATATTAAACTTGCCATTGATATCTATTGTCTTCTTTTAAAATGTGTATACCATAGAGATAATGTTATTGCAATCATGGTTATACCACAGACTAAATGAAAATAATTATTTATATCTTATAGGTCTTTCTTGAAAATGTTATTTATCTATGGTTTGGATCAATATTGTAGAGTTCACTTTATTGTAGATATTATTAAATACGTGTGCGCAATCGCACATTGATATTTCTATTTTTAGTCTATAATATTTTTATTTTATTAAATTAGAAGTACATATTTACTTTTAGTTATTTATTAATTTAATTGCATTGTAAAATAATAAGTAATAAAGTAACAATTTGGTATGATATTCGTGAATAACTGTTTGGTATACTTAGCATAACAAATTTGCTATGACGCCAATTGGCGTCAATCAGCGTCAGATAAAAGCAAAGTGTATGTGGTGCGGATGACGCCAATTGGCGTCAGTGAAAAAAAACCTCGAATTACTCCTGCACATTTGAATGTGTATTGTAATATGATCCGCAGTGAACGTGTTAATACATATAAATAATTAAACTACTTAGCTTTATATTTTAAGAAAAATGTTATTTCTTATAATATTTAATTGTAATAATTTATATTAAATACATTGATAAAATAATAACATAGTAATTAAGTTTAATTGTTTAGTATTACATAAACAATACATAATATATTATGATGTAGTAGATGGAGGAGAAACAAGTATGACACCATCTCCTCTAACAAACAACATAGGTATAGTTCGTTTAGTAGTTTTATATACTTCCTCAAATGTTTCTTCGTCAACCTCAATTGTTGTGATAGTTTCTTCAGCTTCTCCTAATACCATGTTTAAATGCTGATCAAAAGCCTAAAATAAAAATATATTGTATATAATAAAAGAAAATTAAATAATTTAAAAATATAATTAAATTATTACTTATTTCATTTCAATCAATTAAAAATATATCAAAATAAACAAAAGAAAATTTACTATATAATTTATTGTCCGTCAATCTTGAATATCTGAATGATTAATTACTTATTTAAAGAAATAGATAGCCAGCATTAAAATATATTCATTCAAGAATGAACATTTATATTTATTTTAGTATTTACATTTATATTGATAGAAGATAATTGCTTTAAAAGATTATTTTCTGACCTAAGTACTCTAACTATTTGAACCATAAGTATAAATATCTTCTTCAATATTATTAGTTTGAGTTATCTTTATTTTGAGTGTTTTAATATTAAATTTATTTATTTAATTTTTTAGATGTTTTAAATTTTTCTAATGCATACTGATCTACTATATTATTTTATTTGTACTTAATATAAGGTATTTCTTAATTTCTATGATCCTTAAAGTTAATGATTTTAAAATTAATTAAAAAAAAAAAAACTACCAAAAAATATAAAATAAATTTGATCAGTATTTACATGAAGTCGACCACGAAGTTCTCGATCATGGCGCATTTTAACATATATCCTTTCATCGACACTAAGCCTTATTAAATCAACTGGCTCTTTGATTGTCACTAATGAGACAGGCTGAAAAAATAATAAAATAATATAAAATAAAAGTTGGAAGGTATTAAACGCATTGAGTTATTATAAATTAATATTATACCTCTGTTTCTCCTTCGGGCATTTTAGTTACCATAAATATAACTTTTCAATACGACTGGAATATTAACACAAACAAAACACTGAGTAACAATAATTATTTTGAAACCAATAATAAAACGAATGTATTCGGTTTATTGGCGATTGTTGTGAATCAAAGATTATTAACCAACATAACCTTACTAATAGTACAAATGCTTAGAGGAATATTTATCCGCTAGAGTGCGCTGTATATTCATCTTTTGGTATTAAGATAAAAATTTGGATGTATTATGTAAATAATGTAAATATGCTGATACTAAGTCTAAAACTTAATACTGATTGTAGAATATATTTAATATAATTAAAAAGACTTTTGTGGATTTGTAGGCGTTAGTAATGGAACCGCCCGGTTCAATTGCCAACTCGCTTTTTACCTATTTCCTAATATTTATAAAGCACTCAATGTTACACTTTAGCAGTAAGGATATTGATCGGTTTCAACTATCCAAATCAAAGATTATTTGCAGAAAAAGCTATAATTAAAAAATTATTTGAGGCACAATTGGGAACGTAGAAAAGATATTTCGATGAAATTAACACAAAAACAAGTATTTATTTAGCTATTTATTTTGAAATATAAATTAAGAAAATGCTAAGACGGCAATGTCCAAGATGCTAAAATGGCTACAATATCAATGAAAGTAAAAAAAAAAAAAATTGTATATATTAAAAATGGCAGTCTGTCATATTATTGTACTTAAAATGTTGGTCAATCAACACACTACTATATCACATATTTGATAAATCAATTATTATTTCTGCGGAGATTGGCCAATAAGTCTTCAATACAAATATAAAATTTATCTTATCATGAAACTAACTGTTAATAATAATTATCACGTAATTAATAAAAAAAAATTATCAAACTATAAATATGATATTGTAAAAAGTATGAAAAAGTTATTTTTGTTTATTATATTATATTTGAATGTGTACTGAATATTTTATCTGAATATTGTAACTTAATAATATTAATGGGTAATATTAATTAATAATAATTATGGGTCGCCGTCACACATTAACCTACGGTGTATTTTGTCCTATAGTCGAAGTCAATTGCAATCCTACAAAGTTCGTCCAGTTGAGAAGAACTTCAGATTAAGTGCATATTTCATCTGGAGAAATCTTCCTAGTATTATTATTTTATTTATTTATTCAATACAATACTAATTACAACAGTTTTATATAAAACATGTATCGTTACAGCTAAGAAAGTTGGCTACTTTCATACCTATAACTGTGTGAAGGTGAGAGTTCTAATTAATTAATTGTTTAATACATGTTTATTATTATGATATGTAGACTATGTAACTAACCCTAACCTAACAGGGTCAGTGATAATTTTTGTGAGGTTCAAGGTAAAGTTATGGATTGTTTTCAAAATAAACATTGCAATGATTAGCTACCACATGCAACTAGTACATTGCAAAATGTTTAGTAGGTATATCAATTGATTGTTGTTGAAAAGTCGTACGTAGAATGCAACTTCACGAATGTCGTGTCGTATTAATATCATATAGGTAAATATTTTACAAGCCATTAGATTGATCAATGAAAAAAAAATTAAATATAAATGTATATAATATATATTTAAGCTCCACCAGTTTTAAGGTGTAATAATAATAACAAATAATAATGTAAAAAAAATCACAAAATGATAAGTTTGATGTCTGTATGAAGAAAAACAAACTAGTCGTGCTCTCAACATTTTAAAATGAGACGGGAAATAAAAAATGTGAATATCAATGTACCTATTATACTTAGTGATGTTAAAATACGGTATTTTTTTTTCTTATTGTATAATACCATATTTACCGGTACTATACCAGTATTATACTGTATAGAATCTTGCAGTACCTTAAATTATAGGATATTTAACAAAGGTTATAACCCCATTGTTAATTATGAAATATAAATTATTTTAAAATAGATTAATTAAAAAAAATGGCTAAACAGATAGAAATAATTAAAAAAAAAACACATGATAGAAGAATTATTTTAGACCTAATTTATTAAATTAATATTTAGTCATGCTACCAATTTTCAATTATTATATAGGTACCATACGTATGTATTACATAGAAATACATCCGTTTTAAATAGAAATAAATAGAAAACTATATTTAATACTTTTATAGTTACATATTATCTCATTATACCTATATTTACAATATTTGAATATTATAATAGTACAATCAATCAATTTAAGTCATTTCTAACACCTGAATGCTAAATTAACATGATTACAATAATGTTGAATATTTTTAATTTTTATATTAATACTGTATTGTATTGGAGATCCATTCTATAGGTTCTACTAAAAAATTAATAATTGAATTTTTAAAAATAACGCATTCATTTTATTTATTTATACCGTCAACTTACCTGAAGATCATCTATGTTTTATTGCTGATAAAAAAAAAAAAAAAAATACCGGGTTTGTTTTTTGACAAGACCGACGGGAGAATCATGAGAGATTTTCTAGCTCTTTGAGCAAAATCTTACTCGTTTAAAATCAAGGGAAAAGAGAAAATCAAAGCAAACTACGTTCGACCTTATGTGTTTAAAAATCACATGACTTTTAAAGATCATATGGATTATTTTTTTCACCGGGAATGATGAAGATGTACAAGGAAAATAAATCTATCAAATCATTCAATTATGAGTTAGAAACAATCAAATCCAGCAAATTAAGTTTCAACCGACAAGATGATAAGCGTAAAGCACATATTGACGGAATACATACATATGCTCGTGGCCACTATAAAAAAAAAGTAAATTTAACTTTTATATCTTTGAAATATTTAACTAATAATGTTTTATTGTGTTTTTGTGAGTTGATTGAGGTTGATAAAGATTCGTTTTAATACTTGTAATAAAAAAAAAATATGTGTACATATAGAATGAACAATTTATGTTTAAAATTGGAACAATTACAATAATTCCTCAAAAAATATGATCAAATGTAATGGTTGGAATATTCACCAAATGTTTTCACAATCAAAATGTACCCATACCTCTTTAGCGTAATCATATTCTTTATACTTAATCCCCGACTCGCTCAACGTACCGTAAAAATCTTCTCTTAATGGCTAGCTCGTTTGATCAAGCTTGGCCCAGTCATCTATAAATTCGTATGCGTTAGGTATATCCCTATACGAGTTACAAGTGGCATGTCTTCGGTAGTGAAATGTTTTGCAGTTTTTCTAAATTTTTCTAGCCCAGGTGATATCAAATTAAGTATGGATCAGAGCATATTTTAACATATAAAGTACGTGGCACTAGTGCTCCCCCTCCCCAGTGATAATTTAATGTTACCCAGTGATGGGTGATCGTGCCACTAATCAACACATTCTCATAACGGCCGTAGTGACATGAGTTGATTTTCCCTGAATGTTCCAGTGCAGAACACCACGTCTATGAACTACGACGGTGGACAATTTTATTGAAGTGCCAACTAACAATATTTAATATGATCAGTAATATTGTTTGTTCGAGGAAGGTACTTTAGCAAATAACAATTATTATTTTCAAAACCTGAAAAATAGTGAACAATAAGTAATAAGTATTAATAATGTATTTAGTATTATTATGTGTCTTGGAAATTGTACACATACGTATATTAAAAGCAACAACATGTAATTATTCTCGCACATTATAAATATAATACATAATTTATACAGTTTAATAATGACCAGTTATAATATATAGTATGAACAGCTGTGGAATAGTGGGGATTTTCTTGAAAAACTAGTATCTATATTCGATATAAATAATATGCTACGTCAGACATCATTAATTACACGGACTCGGGTTTAAATGAATACGCATATATGTAAAATATATTAGTACATCATTGGTTCACCTTGTTATTGGTATTCGATAAAATGCTGTTCAATATCAATTTTCTCAAAGTATTCGGTTTTTGTTTATTTTTGACAGCAGGTATGTGTATTGTGGTATCGTAATATTTTAATACTTATAATAACATTAATAATAATACAATTTTACTATTGTTAATTACCTATACATTTTTATTATTTCTAGCCGCACAAAAGTCAAATTATAAATATATAGGATGTTATTTGGGAGAAAATTTACTATCTCTCGGAGAAGAGAGTCGTGTCTTAAATCCTATATCACCTAAATCTTGTTCGGAGTTTTGTTCTGCGAAAAAATATTTATTTTTCATACTTAAAAATGAGTATGATATGATTATGTTATAATTATTTAAATGAGTAATAATATATTTATACCTGCCCATTTAATAAATATTTATAAATATTTATTTTTAAAATCGCAACATCCATGTCTTAAATATATAATTGATATTTAATGATAAATAACAATACACTTAATATACAATAAATATAATAATCTCTTATTTTTTAGTACATGTTACTGTAGTAAACACTATATATCGAGATTAATGAAAGAATTTGATCACGTTTGTACGAAAAAATGTGCTGGGGATAATCAAGCCACATGTGGAGGAACACCAAATTTTGTGTCTTCGTATACAACGGATAGTTTAAGTAAGTTAAAGAAAATTATTTCATTATTTAAAATATATATATATTATATGATATATAATATAATATATATAGTTTTACACTAATTTTTTGCTTTACTCTTTGTCGCATGGTACAATTGTATTGGGATGGTCTTACAGTATTTTATTATATATAGGAGATCACACTAAAGGTGAATAATATTATGTTGTCTTTTATTTATTTAGTTATGACTTCAAACATTGAAAATCGACTAATTTAGTTGTGATTTTTTCTTTTATGTATAATAATTAGATATTTTTTAATATCATTATATAGTTAAAATTAGTACATATTTTTGCTTGGTGCTTAATATGACATCGATAATTTGATTTGGTCAGTTTTCTTATAACTGATTAAAACTTAAGAAAATTTAAAGTTTAATCATTCTCATAAATAATAAGGCTTGTTAATTTTTTCATACGTACTGTTATTTTTTATGTGTATAGAAATAGAATATTTATGCTCATTAAAGTCTTCAACTATTCTCCTATTTTTCATGTATAAAATTCACAATTTTTATTTTTAAGATTTGAAAGTGAAATAAAAATATAGCCCTTAGTAACGTTTTTGTTATACTATACTTCGATACTAAAATGTACAACATTTAAGGCCATAGGAGTCTATTTTGTATACTATACGAACGATTTCCCTACGAACATGTCATATGTAGGTATAAACTTTTTTCCTACGGAAGTTACTACGTACAATGTATGAAATAGAACAAAATAATAATTATAGGCTATAATTTAAATATATATTGTAGGTAATATATTAATATGATATGTATTTAATTCTTACATTTCATTCGTTTTAGGCCTTACATAAATAACGAATTAAAATTTAAGTAATAATTAATAAACAATACAATTTATTTTATTCTTTAAAATAACTTTTTTTTCTGAATTTTTGTTAAAAAAATATGAATTTTTTAACTTTATCAAAGTTTATATTTGCTGTGAAATTTCTTTCATTAGATAAGATTTTTAAGGTATCCAATTTTGATTGATTCATCGATAATCTTAATTCATACTTTACTAGCTGAATAATTCATCGTAATAGGGTACCTAAACTATAAAACAAAAATTAAATAAATTTGGTAATATATAAAATTTAAAATTCTATGTTAATTTTTCAAATATTTCATATTAAATTGCATATATAATGAAATGTTTTTATGTACCTATCATTAATGTTTAGAACATTATGCAATTTAAAATAATCTAAATTTGGTAGCTTTATTAATTTCCATCACCTACTATGATTTATAAAAATTAATTTATATTTAATTTGACAAATACATTATACCAAAAAAACTTTTGGTTGTCTATGCATAGTTTACGGTATTTTATTATCATTAAATACATAGACAATTTATTATCTATTTAATTATGTATATAATCGAACGTGTAAAATATGTAGATTATAAGAAATAACGTCAACTGTTGATAATATTCATTGCCCTTTGAGCTATAACTTAATTAAAAAATACATACTGTTTCGACCCTTATAAACGTGAATTTTGAAAAATCATATCTTAATTCACCTATACATAGTAATAAGTACATTCTTTTAATATTTTAAATGAATCAGTATAGTAGTTTTGGTTGTACGTTAGTTGGTCAGTCCATCAATTTGTCTAAGGCTATATTGAATAATAGGTATAGGTTTTTTAGAAAAATAAAAATCGTATTTCACTAGAACAGCATTACCATCATGAAATATTTGAAATATTTATAATTCTTAGATTTTGAAATTTATGTAATAATTGCATAATTATAATCAATTTAGTTTGGCTAGATAGGGTTATTGTTGTATTTGTATCATATAAAGTAAAGATCAGAAATATACAATAAAAAGTGATGATTATGATGCAATTATGCAGTATAAAATTGTTATAACATGCACTAATATATAATTATTTTCAAAATGTTCACTTACGTCAATTATAAGAGAGAACCAAATTCAATAAAAAAAATAAAATAATAACTGATTTAACTTATTTTTATATTGTATTTGTAAATTATCTAGTTACTTGAAAAAAAAAATAAAAAAATAATACTTATATGTAGAGCGCAGATTTATATGCATTAAAAATTAACCAAATATGTGTTAAAAAAAACCTAATGCATAAATATATGCATTAAAATGCTAAAATATGCATCAAAAATAAAAAATTAGCAAAAAAAATCTTACGTCTTATCTTATCTTAGTATACATATTTTATTTCCCCGATTATTGATCAAAGGTTATATTTGGGAAAACCGTTTATACCTACAAGTATATCTATTAATTTATTTTGATATTATGGAAGCTATAAAATTATAATATTTTTTCTTATATTATAATACTATATATTTCAAAAATGTCTAAAAAAAAAAAACAAAAAACATCGAAATATGCGCTAAAAATATGAAATATGCTATTGAAATTGTAAAATAAGCCCTTAAAATAAAAAAATGTCAAAATATGCAAAAATATGCACTAAAAAAGTTTCATTTTTTAAATTGTTATTTTATGAAACAAATTTTGTGCTCACTTAGCATATCATATGATCAACCAGAATAAATATGCAAATGCATACAAATCCGCACTCTACTTATATGAAAGTAACACATTTATATTTACTCGTATTTTAAAATTTTATTTTAGCCTCAAATTATGTATATTAAAATATAATCAATATAAATATAATCTAAAGTATGAAGAATAACAAATTTAAAAATTAAGGAATGTTGAAATTTTCAATATTTTTTTTTAATTAATATACTAAATAATCTTAACAAAATATTAAATAATTTAGTTTTTAATTAATCGTAGAGAATATAAAAATTATATATACTTAGAACAACATATGTATTTGTCATTTACCCTTCAAATATGCATAAATATGCATAATAAAATTTAGTCTATGAGATAGGTTATTTGGATATCTGATGTATCAAACCCTCGTGATGATGTATATTTCAATAAAAATAATTACAATTTTTATATATAAATATTGTTTTAGTTGCAGATAGGTCAGTAATTGTAAATTTAAGTTTATTTAAATGAAAAATACAACAATTTAAAAACGTCTGTGTTAACCGGTTTACTTATGTTCTATAAATAGTTTATTTTATACGATTGACTTAATAAAATATTATGGTAGATCGTACGTAGATATTTACGATGTAAGTACGTTGTAAATACACTGTAAAAGCAATGTCCATATAATTATGTTTAATTTCTTTGCACACGTTTGTGGTATAATAAACTTTTGAAAAAAAGTTATTTTCATTTTTTAATTGAATATACCATAAATGTATCTGTCAATATCATGCATAGACAATGATAATAGCTCATGGCTGTATCCAGGCCCTGCTCAAGGGGTAGGTGACATAGGTCTACGCCTAGGGCGGCATTTTTCCTGGACAATTTTTATGTTTAAAAAAAAAATTTAATAAAATATTTACTCGTAAGGGGCGGTAAAAACTAAATTTCACCTATGTTTGTTTAAACACTTGAGCCGGGCCTGGCTGTATCGTAAAATATCACTGTATAAATATTATTTAGTATTGGTATTATTTTTCTATACAATGTGTACATTTTATATGATTATGAAAAATATTATTTATTCATTTTGTTATGATAACAAGTATTCTATACTAAGCATATTTTATTGGTGTTCGATATTAATGTATCTAAATAATTATGATAGAATGTTAAAATAATTACCTCTAATTGATAGAAAAAATAAATTTGAGCGTTTAACAGTGAAAATGGCAAAAATGAACATTTTAACGATACCTAAAAACATGTAAAATTTCTATTATACTACAAAAATCAAAATAGTCAATTAAGTTAACCTAAAAAGTCAAAATACGAAATATGCTCCTTCAACATACAGATTTAAAAGGTTATAAAAATTCTTGTTCTAGTCATTGTGCAATGAAATGTATTTTCATAAATATTCAAACATATTTTCACACACAAAATATGATTAATCAAATTAATATACATTTTATTTTTTGTCTTTTATTTTAAAAATAACGCAGTCCGTCGTATACGAATAGACTTTATGATATATCTACTATTCCTTGATAGCATTTCAAAAATACATGCAAATATTTTATGATTCTTCAATCTACATCGAATTATGAAAACACAAAATATTTATCGATTGGCATAAGATATTTATTATAAGGCATTGACCTTGTATGCCAAAGTGCGAACACGGATTAGTTGATTTCACGGTGGCGGTCAATTCTTAATTCTTTATATTTCTCCGATAAGAATACTGGGCCCCCACTGAGGATACTGGTGTGGGGCCAATACTAAACTGAGGTTCAAGGTGTACTGCTTGTTTATATATTAAGTATAATAATTATACTTATGATAAAAATTGACTGTATATATTTGTTGGGTTTTGTTGTTGAGCTGTAATAAAATTATATAAATTATGATTTTAAGCAAAACGAAGAATGTATTGTTCATCCAACTATTTAAGACGGGTTCTACCATGATGTATGTTTTTTTTTTTATTATTAAAATGATTGCTTCGGTTATTTTTCTTTTATAATAATAAATTCTGTCTACTTGATGCAAATTATATTTTATCTTTATTTTTTTATTACAATTTTTTGAGTTATTTAAATTATCAATTTCTATTTTTATCTTTAATTATTTATCTTATTCTCGTTAAACGGAAATCGTAAGTAATTTTTTTCTTTGTTCTTAGAGGTCAATCTTCATAATCTTGTTTCTAGAATTATATGAAAATAATAAAATTATATGAAAAATTTAGCCAATTTATAAAAAATGTTGAATATTAATTATTTTCACAGATAGAGACAATGATCATTATTTTGTGTAGGTTTTCACTAAAATATATTTAGATCAAGTAAATAGTATAGGCCGTATCAGGCCCGTCGTAAGATATTTTCCTCCCTAAAGCGAAAATTTTAATGCTGCTCTTAAGATACTAAATTAAATAGTTACATACAAAATATTGCGATTAAAATTTCTTTATAAATGTATTGATTCGATTGATTTAAATTGCTGTCTTTTTTGGAAATTTAATATTACAATTTGCCGCTTCAATTTCTTTAAACTATTATGCCGCCCTAAAGTATGGCTTGCTTGTACCCTAGCGACGGTCCTGAGCCGTATAGGTACGTACACAGGGACCTAAAGAGCTTGGTGTTTCATAAGACTTAATATTACAAATTACAATTCTGTACAAATACAAATTTGAGTAACAATAATAAATAATAAATAAATAATGGCATATATTTAATAGGTAGGTATATTATTTTTATACATCTTAATAGGGAAAACAAAATATTAATAAGGAACAATTTTCAAAATATATGGTTAGGTTATGACCCTGAAAGTAATATTAATGAACTGTTGTACGATTTCATATAATTTTATTCACATTAAATCTAAACTATCTAGTTATATTAGTATAGGGTGACCATATGTAAAAAAAAAAAATACAGGACATATATATATATATATATATATATTTATTAATTTTTAATTGTGAAAAAACACAATTTTTAATAACACTGTATAACATTAAATTCATGTACTTTACTTTTTTATAAAACTTCTTAATTCATTTTGATGACGATTGTTCAGACATGTTTTCACTATTTGATCTTTCATATTTTTCTGAAGAAGTAATTAGCTTTAATAATTGTGGATTTTCTTAAAGAAATATATGAAATTCTGTACAAGAAACATTTTTTAAAATGTTGTTTTACGATCATTATCGATCTAATTGTGTCCACGAGAAATCGACTTTTCTCATCTGTCCATAAAACATTTGTAATTTAAAATACTCTTTCTACCGACGCGTTAGTTCCGGGAATAGCCATTGAATGCTCTAAAATAACCGTAAAATATTTAATTGGAATGTAATTTTTTTCTAGAATTTTAAATATTTCACAACACCTATCTTCGGCTTTTAAACCATTACTAGTTTTTAAAATTAACCTTCATTACATTTATCACATGATTAAATTCGTCAAAAAGTTCATCTTCATCGAATTTCAATGTTGGATTATTCTTAATAATATATTTCAAACTCTCTTAAATGTCAATCCAAATTGGAAAATCTAGTACTTGAATCCAACAAAAAACTTTTAGTGGTTCAAATTGATATCCCCATTTTTCCAAAATGGTCATTTCGATAACTCAGATAAGTTCCGATAACTCGTAAACATTCTTCTCATACTGATAAATTCAAACAATCACAAGATTATAATTATAATCATTATTCATTACTTTCGTAAGTTTCGTTTTCAAATTAATTTCGTTTGATCAAAAAAACAGGACAAAAAGTGTCCTGAAAGAAGTTTGTCAGGACAATAGGACACAATACTGAAATAAAGGACAATCCTGTAAAAAACAGGACGTATGGTCACCCTATATTAGTATAATCATAGGATATAATTTATCATATAGTTTATTTATTTATAGGAAATGATATACCCATTGGTTACTTTCATATTTTTTAGTATTATTTTATCATTGTATGTATTATGTAATTACTTACTGACGTCGTTCGTGTATAAATGCAGTGTACCAATGATAATATAATAAAATATGTTACTAATAATAAAATAAAACTATAATTTATTGTATGTTAATAATATTAAGTGTTATATTTATTTTTGAATTTGCAGTAACAAGCAATTATGTAGAATATGGTAGTTTTCCAATACCAATTTATCTAGGATGTTATTCGGAAATCCCAAATGATGAAGGAAATCGTTTGTTAAAAGGACCAGCTCAACCTTATAGTAACAATACTCCTCAGAGATGTTCTGAAATTTGTTTCAAGAAGGGATATTTATATTTTGGTGTTACATACGGGTATTGATATAATAATTGATTTTTTTAATGATATGGCATTTTTATTCATTCCTTATAAATTTAGATTATGAGTAAATTATTTTGTTCTACATCCCCTTCTTTTTTTTTTTTTTTAATTTTAAGACTGTGCATATTCAACGAAATATTTTGAGGAAGTCTAATGAGTAGGTACTGAAATATAAATTTTAAGATATTGTATAATGTTTAACCTTTTATGCACAATAATTTAATTACATTTTCTGCTAGTCAATTATATTAAAAAAATTATTCTTAATGTCCTATTAAAATTGGCATATATTTAAAAATTTATTTTGATTCTTTAACTATGGTTTTAATTTTTTAAACCTAAATCTTAAATTAAAATAGTTATTGTCGTCTGTGCATTATTTAATGTTAAATGAAATAATTTATTTTAATTTAATAACATGTTTGATATAAAAATTAAATGTATCAATTCATTTTTCGTCTTATAGTTTTTAGTTTTGTTACATTTTTAATATACGTAGCATACCAATACAATCGCCCATGGGCAGTGGCGTATTTCAGGGGGGTGATGGGGCAATCGCCCCCCCCCCCCCGGAGAATTTTTAGACCAAGACAATTTTTATATAAGTAATGAGTATTTTATTAAGAAACAAAAATTATGATTTATTTTATAGTATTACTACATTTTAAAACGTTTCAAATTTTACACTAATTTAAATAACAAAAAACTCTAAATTTTTCATAACGTTTTAATTGTTAATAACGGCTAACGGAAAATTTTTAAACGTTTTAACGCTTAAATTGAATAACGTTTAAATTATTTATAGCGTTAAACACTCAATTGCTTATAACATTTATATGTCCCATAATGATAAATAATGTATATTATTTTGATTGAAGACCCAGTCCATACTTAGTGAAAAATTAGATAAAACACAGCGAAACTTTAAAAACACAGATAGATGTTAAAAAAGAACTACACAAAAGACCATTCTAAGTAAATCCGGCATTAGATTATTAGATTAAAAAAAAATAAAACCACAAATATTAAGAATTCACCTGATATAAATATTACCAAAAATTTTACTTGTAAATTTTGAGTCTGAATTAAAGAAAACATTTGAGTCACCCCCCTAGAAGTCTCAATACGCCCCTGTTTATGGGATGGAATAATATGAATTAGCTACCTATATTATTTTATTTTTTAAAACTAGAATTATTTTCATATAACATTGTCTTAAATATCGCGTTTAAGTAAAAGATCTTTCATTTTGATTATGAAAATAATAAATTGCTTCTTTATTTTTTATTAAATTTGTAATTTATTGATAAAAATATTCGAATTATCCATAACATAAAGTTTGTTCTGAAAAGTTATTTTAATGCAATGATTTATTCTACGGTCAAATGTTTACTAATATTATAACTGTATAAATAAAAATTATATCCCTTTCACACATATCAGAAATTCTATCTGAAAAATGAATATAGGTACTACATTTAATAAATATAAAAAACTCTATTAGAGTTCGTTTTGAACATTTCAAACGCATACATTTAATTATAAAACTGAATTACTTTACAATTAATAATTAATCTTACTTGTGGCAAAGTTATTAGAAATTAAGGATTCTTAAAAAGTTGGACTTAAAAAATAATCTTGAAAATATCCAAAAGCGTTTTTTACGTATAATAGTATATAAAATTAGTATAGCAAATAGATTAATGAAATCGCTATATTATGCCAAATTCTAATGTTAAAATCAAGGCAGTTATTTTGCAGATATATCATTTATCCACAAATTATTAAATAGCAAAATTGAGTGTCTAGAACTATTAGAATAAATTCATCTTAAAATACCATCATTTAACACCCGTCATTCATAAGTTTTTCTCATTTAGTCAGGTAGGAATAAATTTATAAGGTATAACCCACTTGATTGTTTGTTAATATTAATGTTTGTAATAAAAATTTTCTTTTTTTCTTTTTTTTTTTCATTCATGACTCTGATAACAAATTAAAGTCATGTATTAGTTATTAATGTTAATGTATAGAATATATACTTATTTTTTGTTACTTAAACTTATTATTAATATCGTAAAACTGTTAAAGTTATTTTTATAATTTCTTGTAATTTTTGGTAATCCTAAATTGTGTGCATACTGAAATATTTGTTCTATATTAATTTCTGTACCACATTAACCTTCGAGGGTGTTACAATAATAAAATAAAAAAAATAAAAATATAATACATAAGTATATAGTTATATATTATATATCAATACGTATTTATTAATGCATTTATATTATTATATTATATTAATTAGTTGTTGTATAAATTATTAAACTTTTATTCTAATCAAAAATATTATAGATCAGAATGTTGGTGTGGTAATCAAAAGCCATTAAAAATATCTAAAGTAGAAGATGCCAATTGCAATTCTCCTTGTAGTGGTGACAGTAAACAGTTCTGTGGTGGAGGATGGAAGATGGGAATTTATTCAACAGGAATTACTGGTTAATATTTTGAATTTTTTTGGATAATTAATAATTTTTTTACAAATAAAACATTTATAGACTTTTTGGCAAAAAAGTATGAAGGTTGCTTCGAAAACGAAGAAAAAAAAAATAAAGGAAAGAATTTATCATTCAACATGGAACAAAATAACAGTCCTCGACGATGTATGAATCTTTGTAATACTCAACGATTCAAATATGCTGCTGTTAATGGGTAATTTTATTTTATTTCTTACAATAAAATATCATTAATATGTAATTATGAATAGCAATATCTGTGAATGTATGAAGAATGAACCAAGTATAGGTTTAAAAAGAAGTTTTAGTGACTGTAGTACTTCTTGCTTAGAAGATCCGTCTGAAAAATGTGGTGGAAGTGTAACACGAAACATTTACAAAACATTGTACTCAGGTATGTATATGCAAACAAAAAGAACAAGAATCTTTTAATAATTAATCTGTATCTAACGAATCACATTAAAAAAAAAACTCAATATACTTAGATCAACAAGGAAAAGTAAAAATGGATCGTATCGGATGTTTTAATAATTTTAAGAGACATCCAATACTAAATGGCTGGGAAATAACGTCTAATCACCTTACTCCTAAAAATTGTGTATATAGTTGTTATGCAAGAAGGTTTCCATATGCAGCTCTTACATCTTCGTAAGTACATATATCAATTGATTTGATTATGTAGTTTAATATACATTTCTAATAAAGTTGCATAGTTATTATTTTCTATTAAATTGACTATAAATATAGGTATAGGTACCTATGTATAAGATGATTGTTTTTATTATAAATTATTAGTTGATTTATTTTCAATAAAAAATACATTAATTGCTTAAGCTAGTTTTTGTGTTATTCTATTACCATTTAAATAAAACTATACCAAAACATTGAATTATTGCTAAAAGAAGTTTTTCATCGATATTAATTTAAAAATAAAAAAATAATAAAAAATTTGTTTAGTAATTTTTGGAGATTATCATATATTAAATTACATGCATCTATAGAATGTTATAACGTTTTAAGCTAGATATTTTGATATCCTTAGCACCACTGTACTACTGTTATATTTTCAGTACGGAACCGATTTAAAACATATTATTAATAGAATGGAACAATTTATATTACAGAAAAGAATGCTTATGCAGTTTTAAAAAACCATCTTTTGAAGCAAAAACAGAAGATAACATGTGCGCAACACCTTGTTCGGGTTCATCTCAGCAGTTATGTGGTGGTAATAATGTAATAGATGTATACAGTACTGGTATGGAGTGGAAAACAGATGCAATTGGAAATTATTATTTGGGTTGCTTCGAGGAAAGCCAAAGTAACAGGATGTTTAGTAACTCTCGGTCTCTTTCTAAAAATACTCCAGAATTGTGTTCTACTATATGTTACAAACTTGGGTATACTTACTCGGGAGTAACGTATATAGAAGGATGCTTTTGTGGTAACCAGCCACCAGCTGAGTCCCTGTTTCCCAAAGTGGAAGACAAGCAATGCAATACTAAATGTGCAGGTGATACCAATCAATATTGTGGTGGTGGATGGAGAATGGGAGTTTTTTCCACTGGATTATATGGTAAAACGTTGTTGTAATATTTATGTTTAATCTTAGTTTCTTAAGATAAATTAGCTTATTATAATTCAGAATAATTCAAATATTGGTTTCAGAATTGATTTAGTGGATAAAAACTTGTTTTTCACATCAAAATATATCTTATCATACATATATACAATTATAAAATTAGTTTAAAATACTTCTATAAATGTACTTGACCGGTATATATGATCAAATGCAGTAATTTACGAAAAGTCATTAAAATTTACTAAATTTTGTGTTCTAAAACCGATCTTTAATGTAATATAAGCACTATCGTATTAGTGGATCACTTACTGAAACACAATTTATCCTTGATAATGTGCGCAACGCTAAATTTAATATTAATTTTCTAATGCTACAATATAATATATTTTAAATAAGATTTATCTTATAAATATCTTATCATAATATGGTATTTTTACTAAAATAATTTAAATGTATAACAAATACAGGTTTAATTGTATAGTTTTTAAAATAAAAATTCTTATTGTTTTTAACAGATTTTTCAATTGAAGGTCGGTACTTAGGTTGTTTCGTGATGCAGGAAAATATTTTAAGCAACTTTAAATTTGAACTTATTGACACAAATTCACCTAGTAAATGTTCTACACTCTGCAATAATGCAGGATATCAATTCTCAGGAGTTATTGGGTAATGTAGAATAATGATTTTGACACTAATGAATCATAGTTGTCTTTATTGATTATTATTTTAGTATAAATTGTTTATGTGGACGACAAATTCCTGGTAGGGATCAAAGAGTAGGTGATACTGATTGTGATACACCATGTATAGGTGATTCGAGCAATACATGTGGCGGTGAAGATAGAATTCAGATTTATGATCTCATGAGTAAATAAATGTAATAGTTTATGTAAAATACATAAATATCTATATTTTTTTTTCTTCTTAGAAGTGATCGATCATAGTGGAACTTCAAATTCACATGAATCAAACAATTTCGTGGAAACATTTGATTCTCTAAATGTTGAATCACGTTGGACTCATGATATTTATATTCCTCAAGAACCGGTATATAACACACATAAAAAATAAATAAAATCAAAATTTTTAAATCTTAAGAATTACAATTCTTTAATTTTTGTGGAAAGTGAAAGAAGTTTGTTGATTTTATACTAATTAGATTAATACTATGAAGCTTTAGCAATAATATGCGAAGAAAAATTAATTGGAAAGCATGTATAGATTTAATATTTTTTGGTTGTTTTCTAGAGGATTATGTCATAAGACTATATTAATCGGAGAAAACTTTTGTCAGTTTAATATAGTGGTCTCATTTTATGCAGAATACATTGATAAAAATACAGTGAAGAAACTTAGAGGTAGTCTCAATGATAAATTGGTATCTCCATCAAAGTCGATTTAGGTACCTGTTCAGATTTTCCAGTAGTTTATCTGACTCTAAATGAGAGATGAGGACGTTGTATTGTATTGAATGAACATTATCATGGATTATATATATATATATATAGGATGATTGTGTTGGTCTTGATTTAATGACAAAAAGAACAATAGTAATTTATTACAATCATGATTTGTAATTTATTTTAAATATTGATTATAGGATTATGAATTCGTTTTTTATAACAATTCTGAACAAAATATACATGTGAAAAATGGTGAACTATTTATCAAGCCCACGATCCAATCAGATAGTTTTGTTAGGAGAGGTTGTTTAACATTGAAAGGGTATACTGCAGGAATTTTAAAATTCTTTGTATCAAAAAAAAAAAAAAAAAACAAATTTGTTACAATATTTTTCTTTTATTTAGGTGCACCAAGGAAGAAGGATCTACCGAATGTTCTAGGAATGCTTCATCTTTTAATATATTACCTCCAATTGTTTCTGCTAAACTCAACACGAAAAATAATTTTTTATTCCAGTATGGAAAACTCGAAGTAGAAGCCAAATTACCTATTGGAGATTGGATAGTGTCAGGTATATAATTAAAAAATGTACATACGATATTTATCAATGATAATTATATTTCTTAGACAATGTAATTATTTTTAATATATGTGTGTTATTAGAAATAGCTTTAATAAGTAAATCCAATGAGAAAAATAAATTAATATTAGCTACATCTTTTGGAAATACAAATTTAAAATGTAATGGAGAAGATGAAAGCGCAGCTGTCTTAAAATATGGATTGAAAATTGATGAGACATATCACGTGGATTCAAAAATGATAAAATTGTCATCTCAAAGAAACCGTTGGTCTGATGACTATCATACTTTTGAATTTTCCCGGTCTCCTGATAATATTGTATTTAGAATAGACGGTGAAAGTAACCAATTAGATACATCGGATTTACCAATGAACTTAATATTTGATTCTGAAGTAAGAAAATTGTTTAATGTGAATGAATATAGTATAATTATTTTTATTTTACTCATTTAGTTTTATTTATCAATTGGTGTGTCGGTCGGTGGTATGTTAAATTTTCGTGACGATTGCTTAAGTAATGGACATTTAAAACCATGGAAAAATTTTGATACAAAGGTGATTATTTATTCTAAAAATAGCATATAAACTTTATAAAATATATATTTTCTTTGAATCATTTTAGGTTATGCTGAATTTTTGGAAGGACAAGAATTATTGGTCAACAACATGGGATAACGAGCTGTCAATATTACGAATTAAAAAAATCAAATTCACATCTTCCGATAGTATTAATTAGTTATTCTGAACGAAAAGAATAAAGAATGATGAATTTAAATCGATTTATTAAAAATAAAAATAATTGAACCTATACATTTGAAAATGTTTGTATGGTATATATTTAATTTTATATGTATTATATCACATTAAATTATAAGATATTATCACTTTTTTATTCTTCAACTACCCTGTAACAATAGTTTAACGTTAATACCTCTTGTTCGCGGTTCGTGTACTTGCGCACCACGGTTTTCATTTAGGGTACACGTATAACTATAAAATTAGGAGGTGGGTACACACCGTGCACCCCCTTGTACCATCCACTACACCACTGCTCCTCATAGTTAAATAAAAAATAAAATATTGAATTGCAATTAAAAAGGTAGAAATCACGTTAGGCCGACGTAATTGGAAAATATTTCGAACACATGAGGCACGTGCACAGTAAGCTGTGTCGTGCACATTACGTGACGCAGGTTAACACAGGCACAGTTCTGCGATGCCCTGCCCTGCTTCCCAATATATGCTTGTACGTTCTAACTAATAGTTTACAGAAAACTATGTTGCGCTGCTCTGTACTGCGTTGTGTTGACATGTCTCAATAAGCGCACTGCCTTAGGCTATCTGTGATATATGAAGACCCTAAATTTGTTGTTCAACAACATAAAGCTTTAATTTTCCCAAAAAAACCCTTATTTTATATTAACGAAAAACGATATGATGTTCACTTAATTTTCCAAACAATTGTTTTAATAATGGTGATTCATGAAAATTATTATACATTATCATTAGTATTTGGTGGACATCCATTGAAATTTTTTCAAAGTAGAACTTATAATTAAAAACGTGAAAAAAAATGTAAGATATGTCTAAACATTTAATGGATCAATGTATTTTTATATTTAATAATTGGGGCGGCAAATTTTTAGTGTTTATACCTATCCGTAAAAAAGTTAAATCCATCTCTGAATATAATTTATAAGACTCAAAAAAATATTATACTGAATACAACATTTATTGACGAATTTTTTTTTTTTTTTAAATTGTTACATTAAAGAAAAAAAAAATTTCACTTTATATAAAATAGAAATTGTCACGACTTGATATCGAATACTTTCGATAATTTAGTCACATTGATATTGGTAAAATTAGTCTGATATCGAAATACGATATCGTTGACAAAGGTGTATTTGAGTGGGAGGACGAAGGGGACATTCGCACCCCCCGTAACTCGTATTTTTTTTGAATATAAAACATTGATTTATTTAAAAAATGTAATGTATAAATAATTAACAATATAAATTACCAGTCTATCATTATAATATGTTATTATTATAACAGAAACATGAGTTATAGGTAATGAACTGTAAATAATTTTTAAGTTTGTATTGAAGAAAAATTAGTTTCGCCCCCCCCCCTCCATGGCCGCAACTCAAATACGGCCTCGCTGTAAGTGCTAATGAGTAATCAGTAAAAATATTTCATTTTTATCATTATTTTTATTATTTTGTCACTAATATAACTGGAAAACATTTTATCATTTTGATTAAATTGTATTATTTTTATATGTGACGCACTTAGTTCATAATAGTATTACATCTACAAAATATAAAGCATAATTGTAAAGCCAACATGTTTTTCGCTGCACCCAGAACTTAAAATGTGTTGTGATAGTATGTAAGTGCAGAGCCCTACATTGGTTAGGATAATGCGTACCTTACTCGTTTAAAACAGTTTAAAATAATTAAATAAAAAAGTGACACTTAAAAAAAATAAACAATGAAAACAGTTTTAAACAATAGATAAGATTTTTTTTTTGTTTTTTTTAAAAAAAACATGAAACATAACAACTCTGTATACATCAGATTGTCCGAAAAGCGTTTCCTTTAAAATCCTTATAGGTGAATCGAGCGGACATCACTAACGAAAAAAGATAAATTTTACCATTTGCCATTATAATATATAAAAAAGATTTTTGCGGAGAAAAATATTACGAATTAAGGTTTATAATAACTATTGTTTTAAAAAGTTTGCGAAGTTTGTTTTTGAAAAGTTGTAACTATATTAATAAGTTGTCTATGATACTTTTTTTCCGTTATTTGTGCGTAGAAAATACTACGGCATTGAATGAAATACAGTTTTTAGATTGTTATACTTAAGCTCTTATGTTTTCAAAAAAATTTACGGAGCACCGAAAATCAGGAATTTATATTCAAGACAACAACAATTATTAATATTTCATATTGAGAAAAATACACAGTTCAAAACTTCATTTTTTTTAAAGTTCGGATTTTGTCATTTGCTATGAAAACTTTGGTCATTTTAAGTTGTATTGATAAATTTACCTATAATTTTTTGATCCTTTATATCCATCTATTCAAATCCCCGTTTCATTATACAAAATATGTATGTATCCATCATTTCCTTTTCTCGTTTCGGTCCGAGTATGAATCTATCTCATAACAATGGTCTCTCCTCTACTGATGTTATCAAAAGATCAACGTCTAAAATATCTTCAAGAATATGAATTTTTCCAGCTGTTGAGGACATGTTAAAATCGATTGACATTGCAATTTGGCACAAACACGACTACTATAATCAACGATAAATAACAAACTGTCGCGCGATTATTACGGCCAATGTGAGGCCGATAATTTAATTCAGTGCATATTAACAGGAAATACCTATCGCGCTGTATTTTTAATGGACGGTATAGTCAAGGTGCACGAGACAGTTTTCGAAATATCGCATCATAATTTTACTGCGTGACACTCGTGCCCTATTCATTTTAATGTACTTTAACAAAATGCGCAGAAAAATTACGCCGCGGTAAAAATGCCGCACGGTAAAATAACGCTAGTGTGTTGCTAGCCTAAGGATAATGCGTAACGATAACCGACTGCTTGGGTCGTACGAGTAACGTTATAATCGAAATACGCACGTGCACCATCGTGTGCAGATTCGCGAAGATAACGAATCGCAGCCGACACCCAAGGGCGTATTTAAGGGGGGAGGGGGGAGGGTGAAGGGGCATATGCCCCCCATGGCTCGTATTTTTTTTATGAATATAATACATTGATTTATTTAAAAAATGTAATGTATAAATAATTAAGAATATAAATAAGTCTATCATTATAATACGTTATCGTTATAACAAGAAAATGAGCTGTAGGTAAGGAACTGTAAATTATTTTTAAGTTTGTATCGAAGAAAAATTAGTTTCGCCCCCCCCCCCCCCTATGGCCTCAACATAAATACGCCCTTGATCGTTGTGCATCACTAATAAAACCTTTGAGAAATAAAAATACCTATATCTACGAGTATATTGAATTATTTTCCTTGAGCCCGAAAAATCTTTCATAGTCTGTCTTAGGCCAAGTATTACAATCATCGATTTTTCGTTTGAAATGTTTTTTTTATGTAACCAATTGATAACGTAAACATTTCACTGATTACAGTATAATCTGATATGTGATTAGCTAATCGGAATAATTGGATCATTCTCAGAAGGTTGTATTACGAAGAAATTTCAAGAAGTTGAATTCAACGGAAACAACGATAATCAATTATAATTTGTTGGTAAATTATTTTTACTTTTATACTTAACCATTAAGGTCTATTCACACATGTCCGGTCCGTGTCCGGCCCGTATCCGTACCACCGACCGTTCATTGATAATACTGTCCGATAGCATCTAATTCACACAAGTCCGTGTCGTCCGGTATTCCATTTTATGCACTACACCAGGGGTCTCCAACCTTTTTTTACCGCGGGCCAAATTTGATATACGCTTTGGCATCGCGGGCCAACATTTT